ATATAATTTTTATGGCCGTTAAATAATAAATGATTTTTAGTAGATCCGCTGCTCGTTTAAACTCAATGGTTTGTGCAATATCCGCTATTGGTCTAGATTCGACCAATCCTGTCGCGACACGAGTCGGCGATGAGGTTTTACCGTATTATACGAGTCTCTTTTAGCGTGTTTATACGAACACGATCGCAATTTTTTCGCCATGATATACGAATCCTATTATATGAACCCGTATTATAGGGGGATCTACTGTACGCAATGTTCTGAAAGTTAATCAATCCAAAAGCTGTATAGTAAGAAGGTCTACATCTACTGCCAGAGGAAAAATCTAATTTAAGCTGTTCATAGACCTATAGAAGTAAAACATATCAGTTATGCACCATACGTGGGCTAGCAGTCACGAAGCGACATTCTTCAACACATTACAGTATAAACTATGTGCAGTTTTTAGTGTTTTCATGGACTTAGCTATTGCTGAAGCAAATAAAAAGTTGCACGCAATTATTTCTTTAGTGTTCTATTTTACACGATAATTTCAAAACTAGAAAATGATTTTTAAGTATTAAATTTTCGGTAACATAGCTGACTACAAAATTATTCTTTGATCACACGCACACAAAAAAATTTTTTTCTGTCAAATATCGGATATAAAACTAATTTATTATTAAAACTGGAATTGCTCGAGAGGTCCTAGTGGATAGCTAAATTATGATGACCGTTCGTGGGATTGCTCCTCACCAACTGGTTGGCCACGTGGAGTTTTATAGGATTTTTTCGTGCCTAACATAAATAAGGGCCAATTTCTCAAAAATGACCTCTTAGTACGCCTCGCTGTTTGCATATGCCATGCTGAAAGACCCAGCGGTCAAAACCAGCAGGAATTTTTGCCCTCTGTTTTGAATATTCGGATTTCATTTCACATTATCCTACTGTCTCATTGTGGGCAATTTAGGATGGTGAATGACGTGTGCTTATTAGTCCTACTCAACGTAAATTTAGTGAAATTCACTGTGGGTTTTTCAATTCTTCCTGCCCTGTGAACATTAAAATTTTTTTAGGTAGAGAGACCATAATGGGTTCGATTATGCCTACAACGAGAAACCCAGTTGTAAAGGGAGGGACCGCCGATACATCCAGACAGATTACTCCCCTAGAAAATATTTCTGATATTTTACGAACCGTTCGAATCGATTTCGGATCCCTAGAGAGAACGGCTGTATTTTAATTACTCACAATACAGCTGTAAAATTTATACCTTAATTAATTCTGTTCTTTATTTCTTGCACGGTAGAAAAGAAAAAAAAAGGAAGTAAATCCCACAGACGGTTGACATAACGACCATAGTCGGTTCGGTCCAGTCAAATAATGCCGTTCGTCAACCATTCACAGACGAGAAATTCAAATTAGCCAATCGAAGAGCGAGAAGTAATTAGCGCACGAAAGATCGACCATTCGTAAAACGGGAAACTGACGTGGACGAGTTTGATTGGTTTAACCGTAATCTCGAGTTCCCGAATGTACAATATATAAAGACAACAAGTAACACCAATGGCGAGTGTATTTTCGCGCTGCTTCATTTCAGATATTTTTTTTCTGTATGTGTGGAGGGTCACGAATTTTTTCACCCTCTTTGAAACTTAGTAACCCCTGTGCTGTTAGTGCCTTTTTTCGGGTTTACTTCGCGTGGCCAATTATTTATAAAATATCCTCTCGAGAGGCACTCGCTCTTGGCAGATTTTCCGTGTGTTGAGTTACCATATTCCACGAAATCAAACTACCACAAAAATTTATGTCAGTCGTAAAATGAGGATTCTATTATAATTTTAAGAAAATAATACAGTTGACCTTCCTTATAACACTAATTGATTATTCCGTTTTATATGAATTCCATGTTGTACGAGTCACTTAGATTTTACAAATACGTGTGCCTGGCTGTGAACGGCTGTTGAACGGCTGTGACAAGTGTTGCGTTGTCATAATTTAACAAACATTAATTTAAGCATCATTGGACTAGTTATTTTTAACTCTTTCCGCCCTGTGAGCACTAAGAGGGCCTCTTTTTGCAAGCCCATTATGGGTTCGGCCAGGCCCACAATGGGGCTGCCGGGTGGTGAGGGGCGGGACCCGACATATCCGAATGGACTAAAGAGAGGGGAGGTGCGCGTTATACGCGAGACACGCGCCCACATGTACACAGAAACCCGAGCTAAAAAAAGAGAGAAATCGTGACGATTCCGAAGAAAAGAGCGCGCATATATAGAGACCCGGGAGGCCAAACAGAGGGGAGGCGCGCATTATACTCGGGTGCGCGTTATACGCGAGACACCACACACGCGTTCGGGGAAAAGACAAAAAAAAAACAGAACGCGCATAGAGACTGGGGCTAAAGTTAGAGAGTGAGAATGCAAGTGCCGAAGACACACTCCAACTGCACTGTTGCATCCGAAACGAGCACGTACATATTTATATCAGAGACCAGGGAGCTAAAGACTGAAGTGCGCATTTTACGCGGGTGCGCGTTATTCGCGAGACGTGCACGCATATAGTGACACGGGCTAAAGAAAAGAGAGAGAGAGAGAGAGAGAAAAAAGCGTCGGACACACTCCAACTGCACCGTTGCAACGACACGCGGCCGAGTTGGAAATAAGAACTATTCGAAACTCACCTTATTCATTCCAAAATCCTATCCTTTCCATGCCCCGTGCCTTCAAATCGACAGTGTTCTTCGATTAGACGCTTGATAACACTCCAAAAACGTCCATTTTCGAGTTGCTAGCAAAACGCGCACATTAGAGTCCCCCGAAAATTCCTGGGGGATTTTTCGACCCGTTCGGATTCGAACCCGGCTACACCAGAGCGGTAGGCGGTCACCTTGACCGCTCGGTCATTCGGCCTTCTACGAATAATATCAACGGGCCTACTCTTGTATACAGTATTTATCGCTCACCTTTTTTTTAAAACTCTTTCCGCTCCGTGGGCACTAAGAGGGCCTCTTTTAGCAAGCCCATTATGAGTTCGGTCAGGCCCACAATGGTAATGAGGGACGGGACCCGACATATTATCGCCTACCTTATGCGCGATTTGGTTATTAATCGAAAAGTTTGGGTATCGCAGTCCTAGATAGAACATAATAACTTTATAATCTGATCTTTAAAAAAAGCAAAATCAAATCAAATTATTGCAATATATGTTCGAAATGGCTCTTCGTTTACCAGTGCAGGCACGAGCTCTTTTTACCACGTTTGATGCCATCTTGTGAAGCACCCGAAAACTGATGCTGGCAATAGTCATTATAACGTTCCTCTATAGTTCGTCTACTGCGTGTGGATCATTTTTATATACGGCTCTTTTAAGATACCCCCAGAGGAAAGACTCCAAGGGTGACAAATCTGGCGATCGTGGGGGTCATTATCTTTTAGAAACACTCGCAGAAACGGCAAAACTCCCGATATTTCTGATGAAACAAATAATACTCGACAATGAAAATCCAATGTTTCCGGGAAGAAACCATTTTACTTCCTCGATGGACTGGCTCCCTGAATGCAAAAATGTACAATTCCTCGGAGGGGGGGTAATTTTTTGACCGATCGCCGTACTTTCCCGGTATTATATAAGTCGGGAAAGTAAAAATCCAACAACGAGTTCCCGGCTTCTGTGGAAAATTATTGAAACACGTTGCTGAATTTTCTCAAAATAAACATGGGCCTTTACTTTGGGAAAGTCCTTCCGGCCGTATTCCCAGCCCTAACTCCGGGTTTTCTTCACGTGTTATACACACGAAGGAAACCCGGAAAACTTTCACGTGACAGCTCGAGACACCCGAACCCACGATCGGTGTTCAGTGGCTTTATCATATAAGGAAGCGACTATGCAGACGCGAATTTAGTAGCGAGCGAGAGGTTGCGAGCGATATAGTTTTGGCAAAGGAAAACCATGCACAAGCAAGAAGCGAGAGCGAATTTCTGGTTCTCGCACATATCTGACAGGGTTTGATATTTATCGCTTCTCGTCACATATTCTCACTCGCTCGCGTCTGTATAGTCGCATCCTAAGTCCTTTATTATACTACAGGCGCTCTTCTACTTACGATCAGGTTAGTGTGGTCGTAAATCGAAAACTAACCTAGAAAGTACACTTGTACAGTACACAGATCGTAAACTTCATTACGTCAGTTGGTGATTGTGCAGTCACGTGCATTGTTTATCGAACAAATAGCTTTCAAAATCGGTTACCAGATGGAGTTACGCTCGCATCGTTCTTACATTTCGTTTTTAACGAAGGATCCGGATCTAAATTGAGATGGAATTTAAAACTTAAAATCTGTAAAAAAGCAGTCTTTAATTTATAGTATACCCTCGCTTAACGACTTCCGGTTTTATGACGTATGCAAATTTTCTGTTATAGGCCTAACCGTATCACGTAATCGCGAGCATAGACTGCTACCAAAACGTATTCTTATTTTACTACGCCCAGTTACGGATCACAGGATGGCTCGCTTTACGTCGGTTCTTCGGGAACCAATTAAATTGTACAGTACAAACATTTCGTATTCGTGTATTTTTCCGTTTTATATGAATTCCATGTTGTACGAGTCACTTAGATTTTACAAATACATGAGCCGTTCACAGCCCGGCACACGTATTTGTAAAATCTAAGTGACCCGTACAACATGGAATTCATATAAAACGGAAAACACAGTGTTATAGGGGGATCGACTGTATTAAAGCAGCTTTACCGGGGGGGGAGCGAGTTCAAGAAGCAAGCAGCCAAGCCAGCAAACTGATGACGTAGATCGTTTCGTATGAAACGGATTGTCATTGATTCGCTTATCTGCTTGTTTCGGGTCCAAGCGCCATTTTCTCAAGTGAGTTGTTTAATTTTACTTACCAAGTTCAAGTGATGTGTTGAGTATTCACGCAGAGTTCAGATCGCCCATATGAAATCTCTAACATAAGCACCCGTACAGACCATATCAATAAATATTAGCTTTAAAATTAAAGAAAAAAAAATTGGAAAGACATGTGTTTATTACTTTTATTCTAGTTTAGAAAAATTCTAATGTAAACAAATTACACGTACTTTGATACAATAGAAAACGCGCTGAAAGACAAACGCTAAAAATACAGATGACAACAATAGATGCTTAGCAAACGAGAACAAATTAACAATTGTTCTAATAAAAATATACAATATTCTAAACAAGTGTCTTGCGAATTATTCGCACAGATTTCATACGCGAAATTTGATTATGTATTCTAATAATACGTATTTTGATGGTGACAAGAGATACTTATCCACCAGGAACACACACACACACTTACTTACTCGAATTCTAATAATTTTCAAAGTAATTTGGCGAAATAAACAATAATGGCATTAAATACGTATAGAGTTTTAATTACATTACGGCTAAAAAGAAAAAAAATTAAACTTCGCTCATCACAAATAACTTACACTACAGTATGCAACTTGTGTACAGTACTGTACATCAAGTTTCTCAGAAGAGTTTGTTTGGGATGATGTTTATTAATTACCGTTGCGTGACTTTTGTGCTTTTTGTAAGCACCATTCTGTACAAGATTGCGTATATACATTCAGACACACGTACGAGAAAACACATCAGAAGACTTCCTTTCTGAAACAGAAATTGAATTCGTTGCACTTCTGATGTATCGTCTTTCCCAAAATAGTGGGCCCACAGAAGAAAACTGTTACTTTGCCCTTCTTCCTTGCGAAAATATCATGGAAAACCTGCAGAATTTTTACAGTTTTAGTACATTAGCAGCGTTTTAATTAATTTTTTTTTTCTCTCTTTTTAAAATTTAAATGATCTTACATTATTCCAGTCGGGTCTTCCCGGTTGCGTCCTGGTTTTCAAGCCAGTAATCAAGCATCTTTCCTCTTTGGAATGTAAGAGATCGAGTGCCATCTGTAATCCAACAGCTTTCATGTCAGTTTTCCTGAGAGCCGAGGTGATGTACATGTGAATATCCAAGAATCTCTCTCCTTTGCACTGAGTTTTAACTTCGTCAATTTCCAATTGGCTTAACAAAGTGACAAACCATTCGAAACAGCGCTGATCGCGGTTTATCCAAAAGAAATCCACCTGAAAAGAATAATATTACGTTATTATTCCCGAAAATTTTAACCATAAAAATGTACAAAACGGTGCCTTCCGGCTTACTTTTCTGAGGCGCATTCCTGTAAATGAGGTATTATCGTGGAAGGAATGTTGACATTTCGGACATTCGTGGACTGTATTTCTATGTCTGTGCATAATACTCTGCAAAATACTTGCAAAGGGTGTGACTCCGATACCTGTCGCTATCAAAACTGCATGTTCCGCTTCAAAGATGTGGTTTGAAGGAGAACCATAGGGACCATCTATAGAAATCTGAAAGATAACAACAATAAACTCAAGTTGTATAACTATATTATGCCCAATTAGGTTCCTAGATATGCCATAGGATCCCCACGATACCACGACATAGAAACCTAATTGGATAAATAGACCGGGAGATAATTATTCAAACAATCTAATGTGATCTAAGTACCTTTAAAGGGCACTGTGAGACAATAACGTTATCATCAGTAAGATTTTCTTCTCGTTTTCCTGGCTTCGAAACTCTTCCATTTTCTGCTTCACTGCTAGGATCTAATTCTTCAACCACCGGCATTATAATAATCGATTCACATTGCCTGAAGGATCTTCTAGCAGTCGAGATCCTTATGGAGTTCCTAGAGTTATTTCTCGAATGTCTCTTCCAGAATGTATTGGGAATACTGTGATGTCTTCTCAGGACTTCTTTAGAAGTGCTCTCGTCTAAATCAGTGATTTGTATTGTCTTTTCTGCAGACAGACTTCTTTGTGTCTTTTCTTTCAATTTAATTTCTTCGAAATTATCATCAGGATCGTTCTGGAAACTAGGATTGACGTGCGAAGAACTGACTTCTGTGAAAGTCGATTCCGTTGTCGAGTGTACGGGTACTGCCCATTTTTCTTCCTCTTTAAAGTACTTATACAATTCGTTTGTCCAACCACCAGCAACTCTTATATGTATACTTATTATATCTACAGTAAATTTTACAATAATTAAAATTTAAGAAGATAAATACAGTATGATACAGTAGAGCATACACATACCATCAATTTCTGGGGCGCTACTGATTGTAAACGGGTGCCACTCGTATAAGGCAATTTGCGGTATGTTTATAAACACGTAATCACCGGGTTTGTAGTAAAAATTCGGTGGCCTTTTAATGATTAATTGGATAACCTACGATGATGTATACAGTTAATTTACAGCTAAAAATAAAGGAGGTGGCATTACGTTAAAGTATGGCTCACCTTTGAAGGAAGCAAAACACCTTTATAAATGTAAGCCCTCCTGTTAGTTATCATTTTCCTGTATAATTTTACTGAAAGCTCGAGTAAAAATAAGGCAGCGGGTCCAACAAACCATTTCCAAAAGTTCGGTCCATGAAAGATCAAGACAACCCAGTAAACTATATATAGAAGGTGAGTATAGTAGAATATCTGTAAAAAAAAAAATACGTTTGAAAGTATTAATGTTTAAATTAATTAATTAATTACGTGTGTTTTAGGGGGTGCCTACCTCAAAATTTCCATTTCTTCTAACAAAAGGTAACGCTGCAACAACCATGATTATCAGAGTAACCAGAAGAACCCAACCCGTAATCGATGCACCTCCGCCCACCCAGCCGATATTGGGACTGGTGTCAAACAGGAATTCGGTAAGTGTGTAATTTGTTTGACGTGACAGAGTGTCTGTAAATAAAAAATTTACATATTTAAAGAAGTCGTCGTATCGCCAAGTAAAGTGGTGCCACGCCTCGTTTGAACTTACCGAAATTGCATATGTGCATGATAGTGTGCACCACACTGTATACAAAGATGAGACATCCCGTGAGCTTGTGGAAGTATATATGCTGATCCAGGGGTAGGTATTCGGAGAAGCCATTCGATCTGAGCCACGTGATGGAGTATCGAAGCATCAGGACCAAGATAAAAACACTGGTGAAATTCAGGCATTGACCTAGATTTAGAGGAATTGTGCAATTAAAACGTGATTTATGGCACGAATTTTATATACAGATGAAATTATTTTAAAATTTAGCAAATACAAGTCGACCCCCCTATAACACTGTTCATTTTTCCGTTTTATATGAATTCCATGTTGTACGAGTCACTTAGATTTTACAAATACGTATGCCGGGCTGTGAATAACTCACGTATTTGTAAAATCTAAGTGACTCGTACAACATGGAATTCATATAAAACGGAATAATCAACAGTGTTATAGGGGGTCGACCGTACAGTATTTTCTAATTGGTGTTTTCACGTGACTCGTAAGAACAAATTCGTATGCCACCTCGACCCCTTCCCTCCCTCAAACTTAATTAGTGAACCTAATTTAAGTCGATTTACCTAAATTTAACGTGATAATTAAGTTTTTGATGTGTTTCCTAATCCTTGTTCCTTTGCAGTAACTTGAAATACCCATACTTGCTCATTGATGTGGGAATAATGAGGAGTTTTTTTTAATTTATAAAGAAAAATGTATGCAAGTACTGTATATATATATATATACAAGATCAAACTAAACTTAATTAGCTAAACTAATTAAAAACAGTAACAATTTGGTTTTGTGTGCGTGTGTGCAAGCGGCTGTGCTGTCTGTAGTATGTCTTCTGTCTGGTCTCTCACTCAGCCTGTACATTTCTTTTAACTTTTTAAACCAATACAAAGACTCATAAGACTAGAAATGTTAATTCGAAATACAGTATAAAGAATAAAAACTGTTAAAACAATTGAAATAATCCATTATCCCGCCTATTGTGTAAGCAGTTATTTGAAAATAAACGTTTTCCACTTCAGTACTTGAGGAGGAAAGTGTGTCAAAAGTTTGAATATTTCAATAAAATAAATTATTTTAATTAATAAATAAGTCAATTATTTTAAATCTAACAGATTAATATATTCAATTAATTCGAAATATGTCACGAGAAATAATTAGAAACAAGAAAAACAGGTCGCACACACTTGAAATAATAGAAAAACCGTTAATAAACAGATGAAAATTTAAATAAGGTGATCAAGGATTGGTTAAAAATAGACATATTTTTTTTTGTGACAATTTTCTTTACAAAAATCAGAATGTTTGCTTAAAATTTGCTTTTGTTTTTTAAATAAAATTTTCTTTTGCTTTTTCACTGGTTCACATAAAGTGAGTAAAAAAGCAGACTAGGATGGCCATTTCTTGAATGTTGGGTGTAAACACACACGCACAGTCACAAGAGTCTACATTAGGCATCAGTTATACTGTATTCTATTTATTTATTTAACAATTAAACTTTTCAACATTTTGTAGGCCTCCATGATGGCCTTGTCGGTGAAGAGACGAGCTTCTTGGTGTCATTCAAGGTTCTTTGCTAGAATACTTCATGTTTTTAATGCCTTTTCGTTAAGTTTCATCGAAGTAGCGGTGGTTAAATGGAGCTGTGTTTTTACATTAGACATAACACAATTCTTTCACAATGTGGGAAGTATGCCTCGGGTCATTAGCCTAATCGGAAGATAGGCCTAATTTCTCAATTATTAGTAAAAATTCTGCTTTTAATGCATCCGGATATACAATTCTATCCGTAATTCCATCGATAAAACGTAATATTCGAACACCGTTTGCAGCCATAACACGAGATAACCTATTGACAGTTGGATAAACCCTCCTTGTACCGTTGTGGGCGATCTGCCAAGAGGGTTGCCTCAATATAACTTCATGGTTAAGTGATTTTTGGGTAGCAGGCAAGAAAAATTCTTCCCAGCAGATCTCTAGTACGAAGAGATTAATTTTCTAGCATATTTTCACGTTAAAAGCGCTATCTTTTATCTATTGTTTAAATGTATAGAAAGGAGGTGCCCTTTCTGTACGTTAAAAACATTGCGAAACACTTAAAATTCTCTCCAGTTAGAGCTCGATATGATTAATATTCCAATTAAAACATCAATTGGGTGGTGTGGATAGGGTAGACAACCGAAAGTACTACGTTGAGCCTTGTATTACTAGATAAAAATAATATTTTCATTTTTCATAGAGGCCCTAATAAGGGGTAGTAGACGAACTAGAATAAAAAGGCTGTTTATCTTACGAAAATATTCAGGACACTTTTCGACCCAAAAATTAATCTTTCTATTTACAACCCATACTTTAGAACTTGTTTCTTCATTTATTTTCTCGTATCTAAGAGTCGATCAAGGTGCATATATGTTGCTCGATTTACTTTTTTTTCCTCCCCTCTTTAGACGTAACGCCTTGCTTTCAAGTTCGTAAATTCTTATCATGTCATTTCTACATCCAAAAAAATAGCATTGTTTAGTAATTTGTAAGACTTTCTGGATCTAAATTTTTATAAATTCGTTCTAATTTCGCAGTTTGGAAAGCTTTTCTGGAGTAAATTTTAGTAGATTTGGCTGAAAATTTGGTGTTTTTACATGAAAATTTCAGTAATATTAGTGTTTTTCTGGAGATAGATCCATCTGTTAGCGAGTTTTCGGCATTACAGGCAGATTTTCATGTTGAAACACGCAAGAAATCGATTTCTTAAACGAATTATTCGAGAAAATGTCAGTTTCGAATTCTAGAAACGGCACATACGTGACTCTAGAACAGTTATAAAGCGGTTTTTTCTGGTGTCGAATTTCTACAGATTTTTTGTTACGCCAAAAACTGATAGTGTTCATAGAAAATAAGCCATAAAAACACCAAAACAAATCTATTTTTAATGGCAAACACTCGAAATTGTAAACCAGGTAGTGTTGGTTTATGTAACACTAACTCACTCATGAGTGATGTAAACAAGATACTTATCAACCCAGCCAATTCTTCGAAGATGATGGAGAATTTAGAAAAAAAAAAAATAGGTTAATGATTCTAAATTACTTTGGGTGAAATTAAAAGTATGGCGTTGACTATAAATAAGATATTATACACTGTATAAAGCTTCTAGAAACTAGTTTTATCGTCAAATTTTTGAGGTTTTCTAGCATAAGGCAGGTACTTACCGCATCCTCTAGCAACCATGACGAAACCATTTGTGTGCTTATAGTCGTAAGCAGCTTTGGCAAACAGAGCAACGTTCACAATGACAAACAATAGGAAAAACACCACGCTAACTCCATTATTTTTGATGTAATCCCACTTTAATTTCCTCGGGATGAATTTCTTGGCATCTACGGATCTCTCGTTTAATTTTCTAGGCAGAAGCCAACTTTCTATGCTGCAACAGACACGGAAATATCACGAATCTAATCATAATTATGGAGCGCTTCCATGAGCTAGAAATTTTACCTCATGGTCAAGTTTTCTGATAATCCAGGATGACGCTTCAACTGGGCTTGGAATTTCTCGAAATTTATGGAACCAGAATGATCTGTGTCAGCACTTTCGAACAGCATCATTGTCAGTTCGTCCAGACCGGCATCAGAAAAGTGTAATTCGTTCTCTTCCATGCAGGCCTTCATGACGCTCCTCAGTTCAGAAAATTGGATAAGTCCATCGCCTGAAATTGAAATTTTTTATGTGATTTTTTTTTTTGGCTGAGAAGTGAAATTTCCTCCCCTCCTTTTAATAATAAATACCATCGATATCGTAGATCTGGAAGAGCCAATGGAGTTTCTCGACTGATGTCAACTCTGCAAAGGATCTCATGGCCGTCATGAACTCTTCCAAGGATATGCTTCCCGATTTGTCTGTATCGAATAATTTGAAGATCCTTTCCACGAAAAATTTCTAAAAATGTTTGAAAATTCATTATTAATTGTTTTATTTATAGTTTAAATTTGAAGAAAAAAAAATGGAGCCATGGTTATAGTCTGTTGCAAAAGTTGCATTCTTACAAGTAAAATTGGATTTTTTGCATTAATATACGTAAAACTGTGAAGAAATCTGCTTGTTTTCAATGTATTAAACTCACTAAACATGAAATACGTGCACATTTAACCCCCAAGATTACCAGAATTTCTGTACAATATCGAACAATCTTACGACCGCGGTATTTTTACTATAAATTTAAATATATTAATATGTTATTACAAATTTAAAAGAAACGTTTTGAAAATATCAAATTCTAAATACTGAATACTTAAAAATCTCTCAGATGTGGCCAGAAATTAAAATGAACAGCAAAGTTTTCTCTCTAGAAATTCTGAAGAGAAGCCATCTTCCAGGGAAAGTGCTAGAAGATGGCTTCTTTTCACGCGTTTCGTTTAATATAAACACAATTGTTTACGTTTATACTAAACAAAATACTTATTTCTATCGAGTTTCTAAAAAGAACTTTCGATCCTTTATGTGTTTTGCTTCTTCAGTGAGTAATTTAGTTGTAATTATTAAAATGGCGGTTACAAGTACACGTGTAACTTCTAATATTATTATTATTATTCTAGACCCTATTTTAATAGTTTAGAAAGAATGCCACGATTAAAAATATACTTATAAATCTAAAAAAAAACATTTACAAGACTCTTATCTATACGTGGAAACGGAAAAATTCCGTCTTCACCCATAGCAAAAATCGCAATTTTACGCATTTCTTAGCCACTAAAATTAAACAAAAACATTGCAATCCGCTATAAAAATCAAGCAAAATCATAAAAATTCTTCTCTTATCTACATCTAATCATAATAATTAAGCAAAATATAGGTTTTTCTACAAGAATTTTATAACTTAGTTACCGAGTTATGGCGCCATTATACTGTATCCAAAGTATCAATTTTATGGCTCCGTTTAGCAGAATTGATTAAGAATCGAATAAAAATAAGTAAATTGTATCGTTATTCTATCAAAAAAACACGTAAATTAAACACTTACGTTGTTAGATTTTACGATTCTTTTAAATTGTGCCACGCAAATCTCTTCATGGTCACCGACAACCTGCTTGAAGACGTCTTCCAAGTGCTTCAAGTTTGATGGCGTTAATCCTTGTTTTTCTTTGCTAATTTCGGAAAAATCTATTTAATTATCTAGAAAATACAATATAAAATAAAAAAACATCATAAAGAAACACGACACTTACACCGACGACTGTCTTATTGATGTTATGAACTCCATGTTCAATGGATCTCACGTACTGTACAACCGTTAACTGAAAGATCACAAATTAATTTAATTAATTAATCATGGTTGTAATTTTAAATATTTAAAAAGTTTCCGGAAATTGCGTAGTAAGTAACAATTACTAATTTTCTAAATCAGGAATTAAGTGTAACGTAGTGTGACGATACGTAAAAACGTACGTAACATCCCTTTACATCGAGGTATTTTTAGAAGAATAAAGGATATTATTGGTCTATGGTTCTTCTAATTCCTGTTCGGCTCTTCCAAATCGAATTTAATTTCATATTTTAACTAGAAATTATCAAATTTTTTTAGATTTTGCAACCTCTAAAGACTGTTTTTAATCCTGTTTTAAAGGAGTTTTCATTGATGAAGTAAATTAACGTGTGTTTTATTATAGAAAATTTGAATTTTCTAGAATTAAATCACGCTTTACGAACGGTTTTCGAACGGTTAAAATTTTGAAAATTTAAATAGTCGAACCTGCGAACAGCGGCTTCTAACGGGAACATAAAATAATAGCCGTTGTTTAGAGGTTAAAAACCTCTAAGAAATTGAATAAAATTCGAAAAATTTAATTTAATTAAACTAATTAACATGATTTTCATTCAGAAAAATTAAAAGAGAATACAGTCTAACCTCTAATAAAGGCCACCCTTAAACAACGGCCACTTCTTTCTTTGAACAAAATAAGAAATGGCCGTTGTTTGGAGGTTACGTTTCAATCAGTGACCAATCTGCTTAGGTGGATGACTCCAGAAAGGACTTTCTACGGGAAATTCCTCTGTGTTCGGTGTTAGACACGCGAAGAAAGACTATTTAGGGTGAGAAACCACTACCAGTTTCAGTGGTTTTACTTAAATATAATTGATTCTGAAGAGGAAAATACTACTTAGCCTTTATAGTTTAGCTTCTAATAAATTTCAATCATTTTAATTAGCCATAAAGCGCAATTTTATGGAGAATTGTTCCTTGTTTTCGGCGCATTGCTCGCAGTTTGTATGGTAAAAAATGCAAATTTTGAGCCCAAATATTAATTAATTATTAATTTCTTAAAATTAAATTCAGAAATTTTCAGGCTGGAGTAAAGCATGGAGCTTAGAAATGCACTTTGGGTGTCTCGGATGTACTTATCCTGTTGCCAATTGATATCCTTCCTGTTTTCGAATAAATCCAACAGATTTTACTGATAAAATCTAGAATTCACCTTGATAAGTGTGACCTTTTTGGTAAAAAAAAAAATATATATATATAAGATTTTGTAAGCTTTCGATTATGTAACACGTGTTCGCCAGTCAGGTCTGTCAGTCACGCTGTAAAAAGTGTTCTCACAATCTGGAGGAATTTCTTTTCAATTTTCTACAATTTTCAAATTAAAATGAAGCTATTATACAGATATTTTCATGCTTTAAAACGAATTGACAGGTGCTCAAAGGGGTACGCGACATGCCTGGACGACTTAGCGACACGTCGCGCGCCCAATCTTAAAAAGTCGCCAAAATTTCAAAATTTATTGAGTATAAACAAGCAGATATCATATTATTTACTTTTTTTAGTTAAAACCGAACTATTCTGTGAAAGATTTTTAAGTTATAAACAAAAAACGGTAACAATTTAGCAAGGAACGAGTCGTGAATCAACATGGCGGCGCGACACGGATGCGACCACCATAGAAAAGTTTTTACCTTCTATATTAAAATATTTGTTTTTATAACTTTAAAGTAATATAAAATGTATTAAATCATCGTTTAGGAAAATCCAGGATCATGTGTTTATAGAAAAACACACTTCCTACACCTACAAACTCTGCCTTACAAAGTACAGTACATTTCCATGACACGTAAATACAGTATCATATTAACGCTTTTACTTTCATTTTTTATAAAAATTTTTAAACAAATTCAATGAATCAATAGGAAATAAATGAAAAAAAAACAAGTAAATTTCGCGAAATCATCTTCCGGAGAGATTCCGGAAGTGACGGTGATTTCCTCGAAAATCCCTATTACACACCATTGTTTTGTGTATGTGTGTTTATTGTTTCTGTATCCATAATTGGTAGACGACTGTTTAAAAAAATATTATTATTATTATTAAACACTCTTCCTGTTTTTTTTCCATTTAAAAAATAATTGGAGAAATTTCACAAGATTGATCATTCGATCAATCAAGATATCGATCGACACGTCATATTTCTACCCAAAATTCTTTCCTTAATTAGGTTTAAATTGTGTTATGTTCTTCGTTTTTGTGATATTGATCGATGTTTTCGTTACACTATAAGTGGGAATTGGTAGTTTCGGGTTAAATATAGGCTACTTTGATATAAGCTATATATGAAGGCGATTCTGTAGTATAATACAAAGATTTTGATATAGAAAAATACCCCATAGAAAAAGTTTGATACGCTTAACGAAGGCTTAATGTGGCCCCGGATTGCGTGTAGGAAAAAAGTCGTGGGAGTGCCACGTTTGGCACGCGTGCCATCCCTATCCTACAGCCTCTCCTATGTAAATATCTAGAAAATATGAACTAGTTTCCTCATAGAAAGTCCTCCCGAGAGGCACCCCTTTAGCGGATTGTTTAAGTGTTGTTTTGCCTTATTCCGTCAGTAAGGGGCGTATCCAGGGGGTGCTCATAAATGCTGTGGTGCAAAAGCAAATAAATGGATACGCCACTGCCATAAATTCTATGTTGATCGGTTTTATTTAATTATGGCAACGTGACACGTGGGCGATCTTTCTCCCGGGAGGTCTTTTATGAGAATCTGGCCCCTATTTGGGTGTTAAACACGCGAAGAAAACCCGGAGAACTCCGCGTTGACGAGGCGTGAACTCACGACCAGTGTTTATTAATAAACATAAGTATCATATTACAATCTTTCCTACATATTAAAAGATTTTTGGAAGTTACTATTATTTCTAAGGGTATTTTGTGTAGTTTATATATAAGAGAAGACTATAATCTTTCAACTGATAGTTCTATTAACATCTAGGATAAGCGGAAGCATTAATTTGTGTATCATTTCAGAAGCATCAGACGATACTGTATATACTGTATCTCTCCTACATACTTAAAAACATCAAAAACACCTCCCATAAAGTGTACAGAACATCAAATGATACTATACAATCTTTCCTATATAGAAAATCCAAAGAGAGAGAATAACACGTGATTATATACTATATTGTGTAAGTCATAATAAACCCCCCCATACGTATGATCTAGAAAATTTCTATATATGATCACATATTAGACTAGTATATATGTATACACCAGCATACACAACACATTACGACGAGAAGCGAAGTTCTATATAGGATCCACGTTAAAAAATCCTCGAGTGAAACTACTGTAAAATATTCGATTTATTCGACAAAAATCGCAGTGTCCTTGAAAAATAAAAAAAAACCATTCAGGTCCGGTATAACCATAGTTGATAGCCTTGGTAAATGCCTCGAGGTTAACAACAGATTACTTTATAAACAACAGAAGCGAGGCAAAAACCTCACCTGTAAGTACATCTTTACACACTTATCACAACCGTCCCCATCGATATATTCGAATTTCTCACTCAAATAAATCAAAATTTAATAACTTAAACGGTGTTAAATGCATGTTACACAACCTTTTAAACGTTTAAAATTATAAGAGAAAAAAAAATTAGAAGCACGTTACGATATGATTTAATAATACGTAACGTAATTCAATAAACCAATTAAATTTTTTAATCAAAATATATTTTTAAAAAGTATTAAATTTTCAGCGTAACAAATAAAATATTTGAAATTTTTTATTTATTTAATATGTAACGAGTTTATAAACAAGTTCCTAAAGTTGAACTTTTAAATATAGATTTTTTTTATTGTTTTTAATTGTACTTAAAAATAAACTAGAACATAATTTTTTTATATATATTAAACGTGTTTAAATTTTATTTTATTTTATTTTATTTTTTTATCCTAATTTAACGGTTGCAATTATTAAATTTTAATCTTTAAAAGATTCGCTTTAAAATCTATATTTTAACGCGATTATTCGATATCTAGATAATTTTATCTAGATAACTTATAGATAATTGTAGAAATCGACATTTTTTTTAAACAATACTTTCGATTGTTAAGAAGAAAAATGTCAATTTCTATAAAATGTCTTTTTCACGTGCGAAAACGTTTCAATTTCGCTATCTGTTTACATTTAAAATCTAGATTTATCTAGATAATCGCAAATTTATCTAGATGATTATCTAGATAATTCTATTTAAAAAATTACAAAATTTTGCATTTTTTTTCTCCCATCAAAACTCTTGTAAGTTAAATTTCTGCGGAATTCATTTTTAAATCTTTGCAACGTAACGTTGTATTTTATAGTTAATAAATAACGTTATTATTTAAATTAGGGATATATTTTAATGGCGTTACGTTCGATTTTCTGTCAATGTTTGTACAGCTTTCGAGTTACGGTTCGGCCTTCGATATCCGTCTTCCTACATTTCTAGTTTGAAATTCGTGACTTGACGAATTAAATCACGTGTCTTTCGACTGTTTGTTACGCTTAACATAAAATACTTCTCTCTCTCTCTTTTTTTAACTGCACAAGGAGGATTTTTATTGAATTTATTTACTTACCGCGCGTAGGGACAACCTTGGTTATTCAAGGACGACAGAAGCCTCAATCCTTAATCTTACACTTGGCCCCTTTCTTCTAACACAGTGTCAAGTGCCACAGCAGACAACAGGTGAAGAGCAGTCACGTTCCCTACCTGTTGATTTAACCAATTAGAAGTCTCCCTGTTCGACTCTTCTGACTGGTTACGGGTGACGTTTACGTCAGTACGAGGAGTGTCTGTGGAGGAATTTGGAGAGTTTTAAAATAACTTTTGGCAATTGCCGGCTCCATCGCGATGTTATTCCTTCAGGTAACCATTAATATTGACACGTATAAGGTTAGCGTGATTCGAAACACCCACTTTTCGTTCAGTCACGTGATCGAGGGAGGAGTTTTCTGAGGACGTAAACAGCTTCTAACCCTTTAAATCGATGCGGTTTTTTCAACGCTACGTACAGTACGCTGGCGTCAATTTAAGCCGTCTTATAGCATTCGACGTTACTTCTAATGTTTTAAAATGTTACGTTTTAAAACCGCAGAAATACCTTTACATTTAAAACTGAAAATTTTCCGTAATAAAACCTGTGTTTTCTTTTCCTGGAAGTGACAGAAGAGCCAGACGTAAGGTAGCAAGCATCCTTATACCGGTTTATCTTCGTTTTACGTAAACACGGGGTAAAGCAATACGCACGAATGGTCACGTGACCCTACATAAATTCCCTCCCGGTCACGAAGTACCGTACATGATTTACGTTTATTAGTAAGTTAATATCGTATTGAAATGCCGAGTACGATCACGAGCGCTCCTGACGACTTTTACGAAAGTTACGTTGTATACGAATCGATAAATCGATTATTTAACTTTATCACTCGATTATTCGGGGTGGGCGGCTCATTTTTGATCGAAAAGCGGCGAAAATCACGTATGAAAACGGCAGGTTTCTTCTCGCCACGTGCGAACAGTTTAGTAATATCATTTCGGGGGGTAGAACGCGCCCTAGACGGATCACGTGGCCCGCGTAACTAGGTCAAAACGGCCTCTTAATTAAGGTACGTTAGGTGACAAACACTTAATTTGCGAGGAATATTTTGGAAAATAATGGACCTTCGCCTCGTGACAATCGTGCTGTGTCATTCTGAATGGTTGCATATGTATATATATTTTTTTATAATTTACGTGATTAATGCATGAAATTGCTTATTATCCACGTATTATAGAAATGAAAATAACCTCGCTTGAGGTAGGGAAAGTGATTAAAAACTCCAGGTTGACCTTGGTCTTGTGACCTTTCGAACACTATAATAAAGGATATCACGTGTTTACTGGACAACTAACAATCGAAAGGTAAATAATCTCATTATTAAGGGGGAGTTTTTCTTACGTTCTAGCACCATTATGTCAGTTTTTCTCAAATGTGTTCCAGAAAAAAAAAATACTGTTTCGGGTCGTAGTGTTGTTTATGAACTATGTTTATTATAGTATATCCTATATAATTTATTCTAAAAAATCACTATCTATAGAAGGATATATTCTAAGAATGCAACAGGTAGAAGCTTCTCAACACAAAAACATCGACCAGTTTCCTAGTCGTTGCCCTCCAAATCATCAAAAACCATCTTTCAAAGTAAGTTTATGGTATTTAAAATATAACGTCAAAAGGTGTCAGCCGCCATCATCGAGATGAAAGGTGTCAAAAGATCTTATTGAGCGTGATTTAGAATAGATTAAAATGAAATAGAATCGAATATAAAATGGTATAGGCTTACTTTAGATATCTCTTCCTACAAATATCAAAGGTACTCTTCGAGTATACGGATATACACCTGATATCTATGTGCGTTAATACGTGTGTCTACATTCAAATATTCACTTGATATCCCTTCCTGTTAGGTTTAGGAGATCAAAAGGATATCAAAAGTTTCTATTTGTATATAAACACGTGTAAAACAAATATTGATCAAGCTGTTTGACCCAAGTGTAGTAGGCCTTATCTGTTTCGCTTCCTCTTGTGTAGCAAAGAAGTATTATTTTCATGAAAAATAATACTTTTAATGTGTTTTTTTAAACATAATTTACCTGTCTGTGTGTATGTCTGTATGTGTACGGCGTAACTGTCGCTTCGATAGCGAAAGTAAGTCACACTTCTACTACGAGACCCAATAACCCACTGACATAATCGATAACACGATATAAAGCAGGAAACGGAAATGATTTCCATTTCTCTGCCTGGTTCGCGACGCGTCACGTGTACCTAATTTTAGAACCGAGTGACTTCAAATCGAGTTTATACCTTTCTCCAAAATTACAAAGCCACTAAATTTAGTTTCAAATACCTTTATTTACAAACAATCAAAACACGGAACGAAACCAACAAGCTTGGGTGTGTATAAAACAAAAGGAATGTCATCCACAACACGAACTTTGACCCCCCGTATCAGGCGCTCGTCGTCAGCTTCTCTCCATTAAAATTCAGCTCTCCCTCTTCATTAACTGGATTGTCGGGTACAGTCAAGTAAGGAGTCTTCTTACGAGCGCTGACCCTTGAACCTATGGGTGGAAGAAGTATTTCGGTGTTAGGTGGCCTAAAAATCTCGTTATCCATCGAAGCGGTAGTTCTGGTGTCTCTGCTTATCTGTTCGCTGCTCTTGAAGAACTTGATGGTATCCCAACTGTCCGATAATTTGCCCCTAGATTCGGATAAGCTTCTGCTTCCGGTGTCCAGGGGCCTGTACTTGTATCTTTGGGACTTCCTTCTAGTGGAGGAACCCAGATCCCATTCCCACGAGTCCCCCGCTGTGAAAGATTTACCGACTTCACCAACGTGTTGTAGCGAGAGAAGAGGAAGGATTCGCGTTTTCGACTTGGGTTTCTCAATTTCTTTGCCTTCCAATTCCAATCTTGGTGGATCCGGTGTTTGTTCCAATTTGGGCAGGTTGATCTCGGAATTTTCGGGTTGCGACACGGGTTTGTCCTCCGAAACGGGGCTAGAAATGGAGACGTAATCTTCTATGACTATCTCCTGAAGGACCAGAGGGGTCTTCGTGTCCTTCCTGAGAAGTTCCACACAGTTTTCGTGGCCCGCTTCTTCTGCAGTTTCTAAGGCATTTCTACCTTCGTTGTTCTTCTGTTCGAGATTCAAATGCAACCCAAAATGATGGGAAGTGTTGATGAAAACTGCCAAAATGTCGTCGTATCCGTGTAGTGCTGCATAGATGAGAGCAGTGTTACCATCGGGATCCTGAATACTCGTATCGATCGATTTCTAGAATTGAAAAAAGTTAATTATTTTTATAAAGTAGCTACTGTAATTACATACAATATTGTATGCAATTGTTACCGATGGTATGCACTGACAGTTCGCGTGTTGCTTGTATATTTTACACGCAATATTTGCACTATTTGCCGCTAGCGTAGCATTTCTACGTATTGTTTTGCATATTTTGTACACACTAACATAATATATTTAAGTATTCATACACTAATGTGGAATTTCGGTCTTATATACACATTTTAATGCACTAAAAGAGCATATTCGTGCGCTGTTTGCGCGTTATATATACACAAACACAACGTATACATGTACTATATTCATATTTTCGCTTTCTGCATGCACTCGCATAACATATTTATATACTGTTTGCGTGTTTTAACCACTAATACGGCGTGTTTATATATTTTATGCAGTTTTAATACACTGATGTAACATTTTTGAATCATCTACGTACTTGCAGGCTTGATTTATTCAATAATCTAGCATACCTGTATGCAATAATATTGAGGATCCGCGTACAGTAAGCACGACAGACATCCCCTTTCGCAATACACTACAAAAAAATGGCGCATACCACGCATACAAAATACGAATATAGATCGAAATAAACAAATCGCAGCCATTTTTCTACTCTTTGTGACCTCATATCAAGCCTACGTGACGTTAAAGGGGGGTCAAAACGGCCTAAATTCCTTAAAAATCTCAGAGTGCCTGCAAAAATTTGTTCTATTTAGGAGTATCCACAAGGTTAAACTCGTGAATTATTGCTACAATATAGAATTTCCCAGAACAATTGGTTTATGACATCTCCCCGATGGACAATTAATCTAAAAAATAATATAGAGCCGTTCGGGGTGTTGTCGGGGTCACTCACAAATTAATAATTAATTAATTTAAGGATCAGAAGTGGTGTAAGGGAGCCTAATTTTTCGCTTCTTAAGCTCGTTTTGCCGCTTAAAAGCTGGGTAAATTCCTATTCTTTGTGTTCTTTAACGATTGTTTTGGCGCGGCTACTAGGGTTGACAAGGCAACCTTCAGACTTGGCGGCCGCTTCCTATAAACAAACGATACAACTGTATAAAGTGTAGCGGGACCGAATCGCTACCCCAATAACGTAAAGAGGAACGAAGTGCAGTTTAGATGTTACAATAAATTACGCAACACATGCCAGGTGTTACGGAGATTTATTGATATTATATGCCTAAAATAAAAGTTGTAATAAATTACTTTTTGATGTTGAAATATTTAATTACGTTTAAATTTATAACGATTAAGACAAAAATAATTATTAATGTTTTTTTTTAAATAGAAAATTGCGTAAATTCGGATTAATATTTTGACGTCACGTTTATTTATTGTTTTTTTCCGTTAGGTGGTATATCGATTAATCAGAAGAAAAAGTTTAAAATTTATTTCTTTAGACAATTTATTATTTTTTATAAATAAATAATTAAAATTAATTTAATATATTTGAATATAATTAAGCTTTATTCACTTGGATGAAAGTAAATAATGTCAAACACTGTTGCCAGATCGAATCGATTGATTTACGTCTGTTTCGCATAAAAAATAATAAACTTTTTGAAGATAGTGATCAGTGTTTTTTATTAATTTAAATAAGCAAAAAGTAATTTTAATTTGCTGCAATCAGAGGGTCATAGACGTGGCCTATCGATAATTTTGGTTTGGTCACGTGATCCGTGTTTAATCCCATTTATTTACATAAAAAGACTCAAAATGGCGCCGTTGTCATGTTGGCAACTTAACAAATCGATTGTAAGTTAATGCGCGCAGCCTTCTTTTATATAATTATTCTATAATAAGATGAGCAAAATATAATATATAGATCACTGTCGGGGTGAATAATATTAAAACGGCTTGCTTCAAAAATTACAAATTAAAAAAAAATCGGCGTTGATATGGCGGCATCAGAAAATTATGCTAAGCAGTTAAATATTACGTATTAAAATGGGTCAAGAAAATAATGCGAATTAAATAAAGTTAGAAATTAATTTTAATCACGCATTGGTTAATTAATATGTCGAAAATTCGTATCTTTTGCATAACTTTTTGACTTGTTTTCCTCATCCGGCGGGTTTCGGCAATGGTTTAACATTGTTCTAACAGGTTTAATGACTCGGCTAAGCTCTCAAATAGGTTTAAAATTTATGCAAAGGGTTTCAAATAGGGTCGATAATATATGCTAAATGATAAAGCTATGCAAATACCTGAAAAATAAATCAGTAATTTATGCAAATAGTAGAAAATAGGGTCAGTAATTTTTGCTACATGATAAAAAGTCGGAAAGTTATGCAAATACCTGAAAAAAGAGCCAGCAATTTATGCAAATGGTGGGAAAAAAGAGTCGGTAATCTATGCACATTTGCATAGATGAAAACGATGCAGAAAGGTATGCAAATTGATGAAAAATGAGTTCGTGATATATGCAAATGAATTTATATTTAAAAACCGACTTGAACTGTTGTGTGGTTGAAAAGAATTTCCGAAATTATGCAATTACAAAACTATGCTTCAGCAATTTATTCTGATTATATATACATAAATTTAAAATAAGCCGAGAAAATTATGCAAATGAGAGCAAGCTTTTAACGAAATTCAACCATGTAATCGTTGCAAAAAGAATAGGATAGTTATGCAAATAAAACTAAAGAAACTGGAGTTGTGCAAATAAAATTATGCTCAAAAGTTAAATATTTAATCATTGTATGTCTCACAATAAAGGCTGTACAAGTTAAGCCACTTGACATTCTTTTAAATCCCATAGCATGGCTGAAGTCTATTAGGGACTTCGTAGCTCATGGGACTTCAGCCATGAAGTTCCATAAACTATGCCATGTTATGGGATTTAAAAAAAGAAAGAGGTCAAGAAAATTAGATAAATGGAAGTAAGGTCAGGTCAAGAACGTTATTTCGGGAGCTCAAAGGGATAGATTTAATTCTTAACGAGCGTTACATAAATGAATAAAATTCGATATTGTAGATGAAAGATAAAGCGTATTAAAGGGCCTTCTACGTAGGGCTGTTAAAAGAATAATTGTATAGAAAATGTCACGACAAACACCGATCGATGTTTGTTGACGTCAAAACGAAAGTGAAACATCGTCCGTCAATGCGGACAAGAAACTTTTTTTCTTCCTATGGGATCGAATGTCCATTTCGTTTTCATATGTCCGCCATCTTGGTTATTTTTAACATTTCTTCATTTTTAATTAATGCCGGGCGGATTGGGAAGTAATTAAAATAATATAGGTACTGTATTTTTACTGTTCTTTTTTTTTCCTCCTTCCGAAGTTCTGGTTAACAATTGAAGGTTCCTCCTCTTTCGAATTAGACAATGGCTGTCATCACGTTTCTGCTGTAAAAATAGATAATGGCTATCAATGTAATAGTTTCTATGCCCTACTTTTAGGATTTCGTCTGTTGTAAGCTTTGTTAAATGATAGCCTACGTAGAAAATTGTGCAATTGTTTGATTAAAAATAGAAAACCAAACGAACAACTTGAAGAATCTTCAGCAAAAAAGCAATCCTATCCTTATTTTCCTTACTTTTAAGTGTATTAAACATTGTAAAGGCATTGTATTTATTTATTATGAGGTATACAATGTTTCAGTCGTTTATTGTTTAACGAGAAGTAGCTGCGAATTTTACGATTAAAAATATTGTCTTAAAATATTTCGGGCTGTTTTAAAAATGTTCTTTTTAAGTAAACTTAATGAAAATGTCTGTCTCTAAATATCTGAAGAGTTTGGAGGTTGTAGATCTTCATTAAATTAATTAATTCGTGACATTTACGAGAAATCCCGAAGCATTTTAAGAGCATGGCGGTATCAAAGCTATTAAACAATTAGCAAATTATTGAGCAATTTAAAATCTTCAAGCTCAATCATGTTTTAAGTGTTTTAGAAAGAAGAAGATTCAAATATTTGCTAAATTAAAAGATTTATAGAAGTAAAGGCAAGAAGCAATAAAGCTCTTCAAGAGCATCAACAAGCCTTACATAGAAAAATAAAAATGGAATATTTAATGAGCAGCAAAACGTTTAAACAGTTAAAAAGTCTTTAAACACTACTTACGCACTCTAATAGTATCAAAACTAAGTCTGGTTGATCCTGTATAGCAGCATACATCAGAGCAGTTAATCCTCGATTATCCTGCAAATTAGGATTGGCTCCGGCATCCACGAACAACCTGGCGAATTTAATCCTAATTTTGGCATCCTCCAGTTGTAGAGAAGTGCATATGAGGGGTGTTTCACCCTTTTCGTTTCTGCTATCGACGTTGACACCGGCCTCTACCAAAAGTTTCGCTTGGCGGTATCTCCTGTACTTGATCGCTTCGAAGAGGGAGAATTGAGCCGTTGTACGGCCTTCCAAAAAGTTATTCATGGGCTCGTTAAAGGCCACTATACCCGTCTCGGGATTTTTACCCGAGGCAGGTGGTTGCACGATCGACAGGTGCATCGACTAAACTAACTTTCATACCGGGTAGAACGAGATCACTGACCTTTTAACTCCCTCCGCGTGTGTGTACAGCGTGTAACTTTGACAGCAGCTTACGTTCGACTGCTAAGCGTAACTACCAGGCGCTCATTGATTGGTGGGGCGGGAGAGGGATGGATTAGGTCACATGACGCTCTTCCACCCCTGTTTTTTTTTATTACTAAGATGTGTTTTTAATACGTTTCCAGCTGTACTTTACGCGTTTTTAGGGGGGGTGACACAACAAATAAATGGACGTTTTAATTAGGTTAAAGGGGGATTCGCGATGATCTCTTTAGATTAATGGATTTATCTGATCCCATTTCGAGGAATAATACATTTTAAACGTAATTTTCAACAATAGTTAGGTGAATAAACAGTTCTATCGAGTGAAAGTGAATCAAGTTTATTTTTTATTCTTATCTGTGAGTCTGCTTACTTCTTCCATCAGAGATATATTCTCCTGAAATAATTATTTTATTATTATTATTTTTTTAAGATAAATTCTAATTAATTTATAAAATTACATCATTTTAATTACCTTTCTTAAACGAGAACATTCTCTCTTATACTGTTTGCTCTGCCTTTCTAATTGCCTATTTAGAGTTTGGATGATGTTTTCTAATCTCTTTTCCTTTAAGGTGATATCCTTTAAAATTTAATCTAATTAAAAATGAAAAAATTAATTAATTTTTTAATATTCTCAATGAATTTATGTACCCGTTCCTTCTTGGAATTGATCCTCTTCAGATTTTTTCGATTTTGATTCGTTTTTTCACATTTAATCTAAGGGAAATTAATTAAGATTTTAATTTTATTCTAATTTTAACACAAATTTTATCTCAAAATAAGCATTACTTCTTCGTTATCTTCATTGGTAAATAAACTCTCTTCTTCGTCTCTTTGATGAGCGTTTATATCTTTACTGTCTGACTAAAATTATTGTTTTTAATATTAAATTATTGAATAATTTACAGGAAAATCGATTTAAAATATTACAAGCATTGCTAGTTATTTGTATTATTTTACTCGAAATGTTTTTTATAAAAGTGGCCCTAAAGTTGAAAAACTTATTCTTCTCTTTTACCTTTGTATCTTCACTCGTTACCACGTGTTCTTCGGCTTGTTTCTCATTGACGACAGCCATCGAAAGTTTATATTCTAACTGAAATAAGTATTATAACATATAAAACATATTTACAGCTTACAATTGTTACAGTTTTTTTTTAATTAACCTCTTTGACTCTTTCTTCCAGCTGAATCTTCTCTTCTTTCAAAGGTTCCTGACATTTTCTTTCTTCATTCAAACACTCCTCAAGAATATAATTTCGTTTTTCTAATTTTTCTATTGTTTTCTGTAATTTCAACAGCTTTTCTTCCTATAAAATTAAATGGTTAATTAAATTAAATTGAAAAACTCTTTCATAGAAGCCACATTCAACGATGACTTTCAGGGAAGCCATATTGGTCTTCATATATATATAATAAATAGCATGCAATATTTTATAGTTTATGGGTGTTCGTTCTAAAGGCAAGTCCACCAGTGGCTGAGTGGATAAAGCCACTAAACACTGGTCGTTTGTTAAGGTTTTCTTCACGTGTCTGACACCCGAATAAGGACAAGTCCCCCATAGAAAATCCTTACTGGAGTCACCTTCTTGGCAAATCGCTCACTTGTTGCGTTGCCTTATTCTATTAATCCACCCAATCCATAGAATATCTTATCAATCCACAGTTTCTGCAAAGAAAAATCAGGCAATTTTCGTAGCTTCTGTGAAGAATTAAATGTGGCTTCGTTAGTGTTTATCAATAAACAATATCTATATTAAATTACTCGTAACAAGATACTCTTGTTTCTATAATCGATTTCGTTCCTATACACATCTTCCTTCTTATTCAGATCTTGAATGACGTCTTTTAAAGATCCTATTTCCTGTTCCTGTTTTTCGTTATGGATCCGATTATGTTCAATTTCGCTCTTGAGTGATGCAATCTAACCAAAACGATAAGAAGAATGTCACAGATTAAGACCAAGAAAGCTGCAAATTTCGTAAAAGACCCGAATAGAGCCATTGCCCTAAGGGCCAAACTTACCCTGCTTTTCATAATACTAAGTTCAGTTCTATAAAGAAGTAAACTGTCTTTGCGTGTTTTCAATTGTTTGTCATAATCGGCCTTCATTTTGATGATTTCCTCGTTCAACTCCTGTTCCTTCTCGTCAATATATAGTTGCCACGTTCGCTCTTCTTCTTGTCGAATCTCCTTGATCTAAAGCAGAACAAATTGCGAGCCACCGAGCTACGGATCCAAAAATTAATCTACAACTCACCTTTTTCAATTCTTCTTCGTATTTTTTCAGTTTCTTTTCGTAATCTTCACACTTTCTTCTTGAAACTTCTTGCAGATCTTTTATTGTTTCTTCAGATCTTTCTTTCACGTCTTGCAGCTCGTATTGGGATTGATTTTGGATCTTTTCTATTCTTTCATACTGAACTATCAATTTGTCACAATGTTCCTCCTCTGATCGAAACATTAAATGATTTGAGCTTCGAATTCTCCCCGTCTAATTTAAAATGCCACGGACTCACCTTGTTTTTCTAAATCTTTTCTGTGTTCCTCCTCCAAATCTACGATTTCTAATTCGTGTTTCTTCTTTATCTCACCGATTCCTTCATTTAGCCTCTGAAGATTTAAATAAATCATTAGCATAAATTGTAAGATTTTTGAAATTAATAGACTTAAAGATTTACCTCAATTTCTTTCTTCAGATTGTCTATATCTTTAGTAAATTTCTTGGACAAGTTCTCGATATATTTATCATTTTGTTCGGATTTTTTCCTCAATTGGTAAGCTCTATCGATCCTGAGCTCCTCTATATAATTCTGAAGTTGATCAATCTTTTCTATCTAAATATCGCACAGAAATAGACATCCTTGGTCATCAGGATTAATGAAACGTGTTCTTGGTAGCTATTTCAGGCATCGGAATGACTTTAATTTACTAATTTTCCACATAAATTCTCCAGAAGGCACTCTAAACTCTAAATCCAGAAGGCCCCAGAAGCTTCAGAAGGCCTTCTGAATCTTCTACTATGGACTTAGCAGATGGCACAGCTTCTACTAGCTCCAGTTCAGATAGTAATCAAATAATCTTAAAGGGAAATTAGGAGAATTTAGGCCTAATTATGAATCTTTCATATCAATAATTACGTAATTACCTCCAAAGTTATTTCTTTATTCTTAAAGGTAAGGCATTGCGCCAGGTAAGAAGGGACAAATTCAAGTTATTTTAAAGGTACCAACACTTCTCGCCAATTACAAAAGGCATTCTAGATACAACCTGTTAAACTCTTCAGCAATTTAAAACGCTGACTGCGGGTCCCTAATTTTAGGATAACTTGTATTCGTCCCTCCTCGTTTACCTATTAAAAAATACACAAAGGTCAATCATAAATCCTATAGTTCTAGGCCTACAAATGGCCGAATGGAAAAAGTATCGGTCGTGGGTTTGCGCCTGACCAATGACCCGGCTACGTGATTTTTCTAGGAGTTTTTCTTCACGTGTCTGATACCTAAATAGGGACTAGTTTTTCATAAAAATCATCCCATCCCTTGGCAGATCGCCCGTGTGTTGCATTGCCTTATTCCATCAGCCTAAATACGATTCCACATTTATGGGATTATCTGTATAGGGACAGTTCTAACGTGAGGCCCACTAAAATGCTTTACAAATCCCATAATCTTATACGACGACGTCTAGAAATTACGAAAATGTCTCTACATGTAATTATTGATCCGTGGCACCCGCCTGAAAGAACACTTAAAAAATCAATAAACGGTGAAGGTACAGGACAATAACATCCAAAAAAATATCATTTTTTAAGACGAAGGATACTTTCCAGGAGTCAATTATTAATCCTGTACACGTTCCTGTAAGATTAGATGTTTGAGAATTTATTTTTATCGCCTACGCTCATCAGTAACTAGAAAATTAATTGACGTATCAATATGACCCAATTTCTTCAACTTAAAAAAAAACAAAGAGTAATAATAATAAATTCTGATATGAAAAGGCAGATTAAATGGATTTTTTGCAATCTAATTATAAAACTTATTGACTTTTTTTTTAAATTTTAATTCTAAGAACGTCTCCGCTCTGAATGGAACGATGTAACTAGTTTTTTGGGGCGCGTTTTTTTTCGGTAAATATGAGGCTAGTAAAAGAGTTTAAGGCCATCTAATTTGCATCTCACACACCCTAGAACCTAAAAATCTTCATTTCTCGTTTAAGAATTCAAAAATTTTCATTAAATTTGAATACCCATTCAAGTATGGTCATTTCGAATCCTTAAATGGACACATTTTTAGCGTTCTAAACTTTTATAAACAGTAAAAAATTTTAAATTACCTGTTCCTGTACCTCTTCTTTTGTAGTGAAGGTAGCAGTGAAAAGAACTGTTTCTCGTTGAGCTTCGTGTTCTACCTGCCAGAAGCAAAGAGTTCCGTCGGCTCCTGATGTGACAAGTAAAGTACCATCGTATGATAGCTTCATCTGAAAATTATCGCAAGCATCTTAATTTATCGTCATTGCCATTTTATTCAGTTGAGTATCTTCATCTTTCTTCATCCCTCATCAATCTATATTTGCTCCACCGCGGGCCAATCCCATTATATTGATGAATTTTGCCTATCTGTATTCGAATCTCGTATCAATCTAGATTAATCAAGAGTAGATCTAGATAGAGATGTCCTTCCTCATCACTCATCTATGTTACTTGACCCCGTTGTGAGCCATACCCAACAATTTTTATTTTCTTTATTATTCTTCTTGTGCCGTTCCTTTTATAATTTCCTATTACATATCGAGAAACTCACCTTTGTTACTTCTCCCAAATGTGCCATATGCTCCTCACCCTCTAAAATCTCCTGAAGAGGTTGAGCTTCCATTCTTAAGTTACCTTCGCTCGTACCTAAATATATCTTTTTATTGCACAAACTCGCAATACAACTGGTCACTAACGTATTGCACTTGATCGACTTCGAATTCTGCAAAGATCCAATATCAAATTTACCCACTCCTAGATTTAGACGTGGCCATTTTAAGGGTTCTTACCTTAAAATTTTTCATTTCTTTAATGGTTTTATCCGAACTAGTGATATATACGTTTTCATTTTCGGCAACGAACATGGCGTAATAGTTGCAACTCCTTTCCACGATATCCTGAACTCTTGTACCGCTTTGTACGTTCCATTTGTAGAATGCCCCGTCTTCTGCACAGGATAATATACTAGTATCCGCTTCTATCCACAAAATGGATTTCACCTATATAATATTATATTATAAGTACTTTATTTTATGCATAAAATATTTTTTACCTTCATAATTTAGATTAAAATTTCTGAACTTTGAACGAAACCCTCACGAAGGATGATATATTGTACTATAATAGTGTCACGGAAATTAAGTTACTCTTGCTGTATCATCGTTAATTTGCATAATTACCGCTCCGAAATGTCCTTTAAGCTTAGCAATTATATCTAGAGTGATGGTTGAATAGATGCAGATCACGTAACCGGAAGTGCAAGCGAATAGATGTCCACCCTCGCTGAATGAACACTGAAAATGGTTTTAAGTTAATATTCACAGGTATTTTTTTCTAATTAAAGAGAGTTTATTATGTTATACCTGATCTGATTCTCTGATAGGATATTCTTTCAACGTTCTGAGTTCACTCAGAAACACTGCAAAGAAACGTAGTTTGTCACCACATCCTGCAACAACATAATTGCCTGAAGGATGAACGGACATGCTGAATAACTCTTGATGAATAAATTGTCTTAATTCTAACCTTCTGAAATACAAAAGAACATCGGTATTCGGTAGAATAATCAGTTAACAGAATGTAAAATGCCATAAGGTAGAGCTTGGAAGTAAGATTTAATTTTGTTAAGCACGAAAAATTGATCTCAAAATAAACAGAAACTACGATTGCGTTCAATACTGTTTATTTCATACTTACTGCTTTTTATAATCCCAAAAATGAAAGAAATTCGGGGTGCAGAAGGCTACTAACTGCTTCTGTATGCACACATCCAAATCTCGGATGCCACCGACCAGATTCGGTTGTAGAAAGTTTGAAAATTTTTCACGAAAACACTAGAAAGTAAAGATTGAATTTCTATTCAAGAATTTATATTGTATAAAACCTCTGTCCTTACCTTTTCCCACTCTTCTGTTTCGAATGAAAAGCTGCACAAGCGCCCTTGATTAGTGTTAATTACTACTAACTTTCCCTTAGGATTAACGATCAGGTTCGTGATTTTCTCATCCTCCTCCTCTTCCATTTCGTTCGATGGCAACTATTATACAAAATTGTACCTTAAACTGTGTAATGTTCTGCTAAATTTGCATATTACTCACCTCGATAACGCCAAGAGGAATATGTTTGACAGTCGCTTTTTCAATTTCGTAAACCGCGACTATCCGATGCCCGCAAAGAGCTAAGATTCTCTTATCTGTGGCAGCAAGACGATTAATTGGATTTACATCATTAAGAACCCGTTCTAACAACTGGCGCCTTGCTAAACCACCTCTAAACAACATTCCTAATTAGGATTACAGTACACTTTTAAGAAATTTTCTTTGTCTAATTGTAGACTTACTTGTTAGGATCCTGACAGTACTCGTCAGTTACAAGGATCTCATCGACTTCTTCATTGTTTTCTATTACTAGAATTCTTCCATCGTTACTTCCAATGGCGATTTTGGATTTAGAAAACCAAACGTGGCATAAATAATTCACTTCTTCTTCCTCGTAACGTTGGAAAATAAACTGCTTGAAGTTACCTCCACTTATACGATAAGTTCTGAGGGTCTTCTTCCCTACTGAACACACTTGACTGAAGTCCTTTGGATGGAATGTTACCTAGAATAAAACAACACATGAAATACACCACCCGTTACCTTCACTAATAGTAAGGCTTTTTTTCTCACCTGGAAAATTTCGCAATCCTTTTTTAAATTTAAAGGCTCGTAGGCGCAAATAATGTCATTTTTATTCCAATCCCAAAGAATCATTTGCCAGTCAGGAGGCCCAGTTTGTGCCAGCACGTGCCTTCCATCGGGAGAGAAACAAAAGCAAACCATGGTTTTGGAAGTCATCTGGTCGTAACTAAGGCTAGCAACTCTCTCCAGTGTCGAGAGGTTGAACATGGCCACAAAGGCTCTCCTCTTGCCTGGAATGAGCAAGGCTAATAGCTTGGATTCCGAATCGAGAGCCGCGTAAAAAGCTTTGTTTAGTTTGTTGTCCTTCAGGAATTTTTGGGTGTTATTTTGAATATTGTGAAGAACATAGACATTCCCTGCAGGATACAGCAAAGTATCCTCGGATAAGAAATGTATCGCATTTTCTATATCACAACGAAATCCAATAATAGAGTGCAATTTTGGGAGTGTCATCTGCAAGAATAATTTACACGTCATTCGTTAATTACACGAAACAGTAGAAAAACTCTAAATTAAGCATTCTTATACAAAGTCCTTTGACCTCAAACGTGCTAAAGATCGTAGGAATAATCGCCAGATTTCATACACGTGTTGAATTCAATATACTTACGCAACGGATAAAATAATAGAGCGTCAATGTCAAGGATACGTTGATATCCTATAATTATGATAAATCATGAACTATTATAATCGTGATGAAGTGTAACTTGGTTAGGACATGCAACCTGTTTATCTCGTAAACAGGTTACATTAATTCTGGAGATACTTGGCCACTTTACGATAATGCCATGACTAGTATTAATCAGTAGTAATTGTATTTAATGAAAAATGCGTGAACAATTAGGAAGAGAAGTAAATGTAGCCACCGTAATAGCATTTGGCTATGGGCGTTTCCTCTTAATATATTTGAGGGCGGACGGTCGAGGCAGTTAAGGCGTCAACCAATTGTTCAGGGAGATCCGGAATCGAATTTGAGCGATCGAAAAACCCACGGGCGCTCCTGAATATATCGGGCCCCGTTCTTCATCACCCACCTGTCTCCATTGTGGGCCTGGCCGAACTCACGATGGATAGGGAAAAAATCTAGCAACGTCTTACCTCCATCCAAATAGCTTAGTAATTATTCAGCCTTAATACCCCGATAGCTGTTCGTTTGATATTTAATGTTTTATAATTTACATTTAGCCAATAAATTTTTATAACAAAGTACTTTGTTATAAATATCCTCTATGATGTAATATCTGTGCAATGTTTGCCCCTTTTTTTTCGTAGAATAAAGTTAGCAACTCTACTCATAGAGTTCTATGGACCATGATTCTATTATAACACGTAATCGTATCATTTTTCTAACCTTCTATAATATATGATTGAAGGTTTATCTTTAATGAGTAACGATAAATAAAAGAGTCGAGTCACCCTCTGAATGTTAATAAAGTTTATTGTGAACAAACGATCGAAAATTCATTAGAACAAAATTATTGAGCGTTTATTTATAGTTTCTCTTCGTGACCAAATATTCTAATAAACAGGAAATATTGAATCCTGTTTTCGTTTTCCCCCAACCAATTAAATGTATTGAAAGTTTTAAAAAGTATTATTCCACTAAATTATGATAAATGTCGAACGACGGGCCATTTAACAATGGCGGGAGAAGCCGGCTTTGTGTTAAGGTTTAAAAATCGTGTAATTTTAAAGTTTGCGTGGCTTAAAAACCGCATCTGTTAGATCTTTTCGGGTTTCGGTGCGATTTTAATTATAAAATATTGCAGAACGAACTCTTCATAATCTGAAAATAACACAAATAAGTCGGGGTTCGTCCCCATTGAAGATCGAAAGTCGGTTCCTCTTAATATAAGCAGACAAGTTACTAAACAGCCATACCATGAGAACTGATAATATTTATTAATTTAATTATTAATTTTAAAATATAATTAAATTTATATGTTCTTATAAATTTTAATTTTAATAAATTTAAAATTAAATTTTGAAATATTTCACTAAAAAAAATAAATTAAACTTTTTTCCAACTTGTGTCGCCAGAGGGCTTGTTAAAATCGTTCCCTCTGGCGATGGAAATCATATAAATATTAATTCATAAAAAATGGAAGAATATAATTCATTGTGATTTTATTAATTTATGCTTTTAAATAAAAATTTTATAGCAAAATTGAAAGATATTAAACATAAAAAATTGCATGCGAAATAACAAATTCAAATTATGATAAAAAATATACTTTTTAACTAATGTATCAAATTATTTTATATAAATTTGTCTTACTTAACTTTTTTAATGGAAAAAAGTTTAAATTTTTAGCACTGTTATTTTATTTCGTATCAATCTTTGCGCGCTTCTATGTAGCAAGCAGCAAAGTAAACAAACCAATAGAATGGACCGTTTCATATAAAACGGAAACGGTTTGCTTATTAAATTACTTGTCACTTATAAGCACGCAATCTTATTGGCTGTAATAGGTGACGTATTTTGTCGATATCAATTGACAATTTCAACGACAATTTTACGAAATGGCAACACAATTAAAATATTTGCAGTTTATATTTATAATAATTTATTGTTTTTATATATAAATAGCACGAAGTAAGAATTTCGTTTACTTTGCATTTTTAAGATCAATAAGTCACACAGAATATCATTATCACGTGCAAATTTTGAAGGAAAAAAAAATCATAGCACGCCATCTTGTGTGGCGGAAAGACATTCGTGCATTATTAATTTTCAGTAAATAATTTATTATTTCACCTTTTATTCGTTAAATATTAATAATCACTATTTAAAAAACAAAATGGTTAACATTTTATAAGAAAATCTTGTTTTGTGAAAAATTCTTGTCGACACGGACGAAAAATTATTTGGATATCAAACGAGTGTCATCTGCAAGAATAATTTACACGTCATTCGTTAATTACACGAAACAGTAGAAAAACTCTAAATTAAGCATTCTTATACAAAGTCCTTTGACAGTATTTATTTTAGTTTTACTAAAAAGAAAAATCACTCACCTCCATTGTTTGTTTATGTTACCATAGTAACTGCGAATGATTTGAGCCCGAAAGGTGTCGCTTCGGTTTCCAAACCACGTGTTAATGTTGTGCTTCGTATTTGGTTACTTCAAAGATGCTTTTTACGTTTTCGAAACTTTTATCGTGCAATTCTAGGATATTAGGTAAATATTTAATAAATGATAAAACTCAGAATTGTATGAAATTATGTTGCATTGCTCCGGAAAAGCTCTCAACTACTACATCTTGCTTAGACTGTAGTGATGAAGGCACTTTAAAGTTAATCCAAGATGATTTTAAAATTTATAATGAATTCTTAAGTGAAGAAGAGGAGAAATCGCTGGTAGAAGAAGCTGAGAAGCATTTAAAGAGACTGCGTTATCAATATGATCATTGGGATGACGTGAGTTTATCTATAATCTGTATTTTCTAGTTCGATAAATATACTAAAATTACACGTGTTCGTCACGTGCGATTAAAGAAGTTTTGAATAGCTATTATTGTTTTATAACTAGAGATGGCGCAATGTGCTTCAAACATACGCTACCGTCATTTCGACGCCATGTTTGAAATGGGAAGCTCGCCTACTTACTTAAAGCGTTAGAGCCGATATCTGCATGTATGATTACATAATTGATTTTGCTTTGTCAATTATGTTTATTGCTACGATTTTAAACGGCTGTCTTGTACATAATATATATTTAAATTAAAACATATAAGCTGAAATGTTGGCAGATACTGGTGCGCTTCCTATTCCAACATGGCGCCGAAATGATGGTAGTCACTTAAAACATTGTTCAGTCGTTAATTATAAGAAGAGTAATAACATTTTGAGTTATTATTACTCTTTATTTGCACGAGATAAGAACATAAGAGTCGGAAAATATAGATTATTTTCCCTTAAAACTGCAGTCAGACATTACATTAACTTCAGTGACATAGTCCACCTCCTTCAATGAGTTGAAGGACATAATTGGTACCTTTCTTCACAACATTCCATATGCAACTCTTACAGCAGTGATGTGTGAAGACCTGCTGTGTATACGACACTATATTCAAACACACAACAACACTGAACGCAAGCATTGATGAATATTGTGGCATACAACACTCCATACTCACACTAGTCTCAACATGACCACATTAAAGTCATTTACATTATTGCATTTAGAAAAATGGTTTTTACTCTACATATATACAGAGTAAGCAAATGAAATGAGAAGTTGTAAGCGGTGTAAGAGCCAAATGAATTGCCAAATTATCAGGCTATAATATGGCTATGCAATTAATACTAAGTAATTTGTTGTAGAGGTAGGCTGCTTACAGGAAGACAAATTATTTGGTATTTAGTAATTAATTACATAGCCATATTATAGCCCGAAATTCAGCAGTTAATTTGGCTTTAACTATAAATCAAGTTTTCGAGTTGATATATATGTATAGTGTAAGGAGTTTTGATTATACCAATAAGTCAAACTTTTGTTCAGCTGTACTCATAGCATCACCAAGCCCTCTTTCATTTTATCACTTTTTATATATAAATATACAAGGTTTGTATTCTGTAACATAAACTTTAAAGAAAATCAAAACCTAAATAAAGATGAACTGACGCTGTGGTTATTCAGCTGAATTAATCAATTCTCTTTTAACAGTGGTGAAGTTTAAAGAACAGTAGTGTTTTCAACCCTGTTAACGGGCTGTCTTCAGGTTAAGATTGCATTGATTAATTCATCAAACGCAAAAAAAAATTGACTTTTTCATTTTGTATGGTTTATTAATAGAGTATTAACTCTAATGAGATGGCCAAAGCTAGGATTGCCAAATAAGGGAGTTATGAGTTTCTGAGTCCAGAGAAATCTTAAAGGTACATAGGTGTTCTTACTCCCTATAAAATTAATGTTACTTTTACTAGCAGCAAATAAAATCTTTATTTCATTAAGACTGTTTTTTTTTTTTTTTATTAATATTCTATGTATTTCATATGTTCAAAAATGATATGGGTAACACTCAAAAGGAGCCTACTGTACTCTCGATAATCCTGGCCAAAGCAACTAAGGTATGCAACCTGTTATATTAACATCCCAATAACCCGACGTATTAATAATCAACCAACCAACAGCCGAAATAATCTGGCAGAAATTATCCTCCAAACACGGATGGATGTTTGTAGGATAATTTCTGCCTGATTATTTCAGCTGTTGGTTGGTTGGTTGATGATTAACCTTCTATTACCGAGGAAACTGGGTTCATGTCAGGTTGGATCCTCAGAAATTTTCATAAATAGGCTGGTGTAAATATGTTTGAGCTGAGCCTTTTATTCATATAAAAATCTCTCTCAGTGTCTGCAAGCAGGAAAATAAGATCTTCAAAGCTGAAAATTCAAATAACTTTGTAAACAGAAATTTGTTACTATAATTGTGATAAGATACAAAGCCAAGGATGTGTAGTTTGCTTGTATAAAGCAATGTAATACATGGACAATCTGCTGAGATGATGCCTCCCAAGAGGATTTTCTATGGGAAATTGACCGCTATTTAAATGTTTTGAACATAAAGAAAACCCAGAAAACTCCACATGACCAGCCTTTTGGCAAGGTGCAAACCAACCAGCCTTTGGCAATTCACAACCAACTATTAGTGTTCAGAGGTGTTATCCATTTGTCTACTGGTGGGCACAAAGATTGCTTGCAGTGTTGGATGATAAAATAACAACCATACACATCTGTGGTATACTTATCATCATCTGGCATTACTCTTGATATAATCTTATTGGTCATGGGAGCAACTTAGTACTCGTATCCCTCCATGATTTTCAATCAGCTTACGTTATACCCCAGCGTGATGTGTGTACGGCCCCTCCTCACATAACAACTGTTCGGACTTACGACCAATTCGTCAGTGCGGGGAATCACCTTTCTTAAGTTAGTCGTAATCTTATTCCATCAGTCAGTCAGTCAGTATTTACTACTAAAAACATTTGCTTCTCCAAGACTACATATTTTGTTTTAAAATTTGTACTTTATTATGCACTTCATAATACAAGTTGTTGGTGAAAAGAAAGAAATAACTTTACCTGGAGAAAGCATAAAGAATTGAAGGAAGGGCAACAGAATTGTAAGAGCAGCAGCACTTAGAGGAAAGAATGGAAGTACAAAAGTTTACCATAAGAGTTAGCTGGTGTGTTCTCAAAAGTTTATTGGGCTCTTGAGGTTAAAATAATTACTAAGTAATTTGGCAGGAGATAAGTGGTTTAGGGTGTCTTAAATTTAATCATAAGATCCAGGTAGCATAACTGGCAATACATCTGCACGATAAGCAGAAGTTGTGAGTTCAAGTCCTATTGTGGGCTATTCTTTTCATCTAAAATATCCTAAATTTTAATTATTTATAATCATTTGTAAAGAACTTTGAAATTAATTGAATTACTTCATATTTTAGGCCATACATGGTTACAGAGAAACAGAACAGAAGCATTGGAAAGAGAAGAATAAAATAATTTTGCAGAGGGTGAGAGAATTAGCCTTTTGTCCAAACACCAATCACATAAACCAAGTACACATTTTGGACTTGGAGAAGACTGGTTACATAAAACCTCACATCGATAGCGTCAGATTCTGCGGTAACACCATTGCCGGTCTCAGCCTTCTTTCGGACTGCGTCATGAGACTGGTGCACGAAGACAATCCCACTTCTCGGCTCGATGCTCTCTTGAAGAGACGATCGTTGTATGTAATGACGTGAGTAAGTTTTCCATTTTACTACATAGAAATTAATGAAAACTGTTCATCCGAGAGGATGAAAATGCTTCGTTAACCTGAACTTTCAACTAAACACACTATAGGGCCTATATTCTTAACGTTAATTGCAGACCGAAGATAAATGCCAATCATTTGAAGTATTAATGAAATTGCCAATTTAATGAGGTTAATGATTACAAAATTTCAGTTGTGCCACCATAAATTGTGATATAACTATAAAATTTTCAAGTAGAAATGTAACTTGTGAATTACCCAATCAGCTCTTCATCCCAAAGATCACACGTATTTCGGCAAAAACTAAAACCTACAATTTATTAATAAAGAGCCTACGTGCTTTGAACTCTTTTATAATATTTTAGGACATCAAATATAGCTCAGTGGTTCCCTTTTCAATTCTTTCTATGGTTGGTCAGTATTAATATATGTAGTTAATGCGAAGTAGCCCTTATGCGATGATGCGATCCAATGTATCTAGGTAAAACTACCCAAGGAAGACATTTAAACCTGGATTTTCTGTTGCACAGACATCTTTCCCAGAAAGCAACAGATGTTGTTTTGTAACCCAAATCATTTTGAAAGCATCTTCGTAGCATTATAATACATTTTTAGTTAATAATAATAATGTAAATTGTATTTTCAGTGGCATGGCCAGATACAAATATACCCACGAAGTGCTAAGTGAAGAAAACTCGATATTTAAAGGTTTGCCCGTTCCCAGAGGTCGCCGGATATCCATCGTCTGTAGAAACGAACCGAACAAAGAGGACATTCGATAGCATTTTGAAGAAGACAAAGCAATTTAGTGTATCAAACTGTAAATAGTATTTAATGTAACTTTCTGATAATAAAGTTGTGATTCTTTTTGAAATATATCAATAATACATTTGTACAGAGGTATAACAATGTAATGACGTTACTGACAGAGTTAATAATCATTAAAGTTATTGGATAAGTAACTGTTGGTTATTTTTTTTTCTCATTTTTCTTACTTAAAAGGTGCAGTTAGATAGATATTTACCATTTAGAGATTTGGAATCCTGCAAATTTTTGAGTTTCAACAATTGGAGATGGATCCCAGCGTACAAGAGGGAAATTACACGTATTGAGCTATTTAACAGGATTTGGTTTGCCGTTATAGGCTGTACTTGGAATCAGGCAAGACAGGGGAAGTACAGTGTAATCCCCATGACCTGCTGGCCGACTCTTACAAGTCCACCACCCTGTATGAGCAAAGTCCGAACTCGTGTCGATGCATCATGAAAAAAGTCCAATCATTCTACTTCAATATCATATGAAACTTGGACATTTTTGTTGAAAAATATAATGAATTTTGTTACAAAAGTAAGTAAAAAATTTAATAGGAAATTCATTACAGCTTCAAAATAATAAATTTTCAAAATTAAATGCTCTCTTTTACTGAGAATTTAAATCCTCTCATCAATTTCTTGGAATGTTTACAGAAGGAATGGAACAATTGCCTTTCTCTGCTTGGGATAATCGGGGAAATCTTTTCGGTAATTTCGGTGTTTCTGCAGGGCCCACACGGCCATCTGGTAGAAACCGGCGAGGGCAAATAGAAATGCTGCGGAAGAAAACGTTAAGGTTTAGTTCGTTTGCTACATTTACGTGCGGCAATTATTATTCGATCAACGCCACTTACCGACGAGGCACTGTGTCATTATAGAAAAGAAAATCCATGCGGAGACTTCATAAAAATAATTTGGGCACGAGACATAATCAAAGGCGAGCGTAAACGGATTCGAAGTAGGTCTGGGTATTTTTCTTTCTCTAGAGCCTAAAATTTTTAAAGTTTTAAATAATTTGATACAGAAATAAGCAGGATAATGTACAGAAACCTTTATACTTACCAGGCGGACGCAAGTTTCTCAAAGCAATGTGAATGCTGAAATTTCCAATTTCACTGAGCTGCATTACAAAGAAGATTATTAATATCAAAATTTATGTCCCAATACTAATTTCTGATTTAATAATACAGTTATTTCACAAGTATAAACATTAATTTAAGAAATCTAATATCAAATAACAAAGGAAAAAATGGTACTTACAACAAATCCAATTAAACCAAAGTATACTTGAAATTTTCCTAATGCTGGGAAAGAAAGCAAATTTTAAAATTAAATAGATAAAATGTCGTGTGTATTAAAAACACATCTGCCCAATTTGACAATCTGTTCAATTTTGTTTAAACTAATTTATATCTGGTTTGCGATTTCTAAAAAATACTCCCAACATTATAACTTGGACAAGGGAGATGAAGGGCACATTGATTAAGTACTGGGATGTGATCCCCTTTCTTGTCCATGATCTTATCCCTTAGACCAGGGGTCGGAATTAGCGGCTCTTTGCATAGACGTTTGCGGCTCTTCGGACATAAACTCTAATTTCACCGCATCCTTATAACTTATGAGTTTATGAGATAGAGCTGCTGAACAAACTTTGACTTGTTCGCTGTCCACACACAACCACACTCGCGTTGATCAATATGAGTCGCATAAGAGTGGTAGCATTTGAAGCATATCTATATATATAACACATTGAATGCGTGTCCGTCCATCCGTGCAACATTATGCCAAAAACGGCCACTACAGGCGCCCCTGTTGTGTGTCGTATTTCGCACATTTAAATTAATTAATATGCAGCTCTCTGGTAATTTTGTTATCCTGTTTTTATGACAATTTGGCTCTTCTCACTTGACAAACTGCCGACCCCTGCCTTAGACAATCTGACTTACAACATCCACTTTAAAAATAATCCGACATCATTGGGAACGAGAACCAAGTATTGTCGCTGTCAAACCATAAAGTATTGTGATAAAATAGGCAGATGCGTTTTTCACTACTACTTGACTACACTAGTAGAAAAATTAATAACAATACTCACATGGTGGAGTGTACAAAGGATGATTAATATAGTAGCCAATAAAAAATGCAAACATCCAATAATAGCTGCAGTTCTGAAAGCAGATAAGATTAATTGATTACTTAATGCATGGCACAGTAATGCTACAATAACTACAACCATAGCTTCAAAAGGCGGGTAAGACCTACAATGGGGATGAGCCGGCATCGACGAGAGACGCAGAACGATGCTCCGACCCATGTTACATTTCACAAATCATGGAATCCGAACTGAATTTGAACCGGTCTCTCAAGATTACAGTGAACTCTCCTAAAATCTTAGGAGAGCTTACTGATTTGTAAAAGTCAAAATTTAAATTGAATTAGATCTGGATTGAAGTAAGACCGGGGAAGATCCTGATTTGATTAATGACGTTAGAATCGTTAACCTCAAGATCATACATAGCTTTATTAAAAGCTACCATCATCCTTGATATTTATAACAGACTTCAATCCGTGGCCATTACGTTGTGAATCGGTGAACAGGACAGCCACGTGTAGAAAACTTGCTATCCTTTTAAGAATTTATAGTTGGCATTATCTTCTTTACGAAATATTCATACTTTTAAAATTAAAATAGTTAACATAATTGTATTTGTTCTGGAAAAACTATTCTTTGACAACTCTTGACGATATTAATTGTATAAAAAAAAAAAGCATTAAAATTTGAATAAATGCTTTTCTTAATGCAAACTATCATCGCCACACTTCCAACATACAGGAACTTTAATAGCAATACTTAACTAGAACATCAATCATTTTCGAAGTTTGAAAATGAACTATACATTCTATCCGAGAAGTTTTTGTATTCTTATTCTAGAAATTTTTAAATCTAAAAAATAGTTTCGATTAATTCTCACCCTGAATAAGTTACGGATGGGCATGGTACCGTGAGAAAATCGATGTACGAAGAAAGTCTCCAGAATTCTTTTGACGTAATGAACCGTCCAACACACGGCGGCTATTCTAAAAAGAAAGACTTTGGTTAACTTTGCCGAATAAATAACAAATATTTTATTGAAGCGTGTGATCTGTTATCGTAAAAACTTATGAAAACAAGCAATTATTTACTGTGACGTCGTCACAATGCCGGGATGCAAGTTTTAATCGTATTCTTAATTTATTTTAAAATGTATGATCTCTATCTGTGATTAGTGTCTTGCCCCTGTACTGTACATCATACTATTCTTGTTAGGATAGACAATCAGCATGACTCTATTGCTAATTCCTTTTGGGAGAAAATGTTTGAATTGAAATAATATGACTTCCAGTGCAAACCAGAAATTCATGTATAGTTAATTGGGGGCCTCCTGCCCCTAAGCTTTCAATATCTGGTATCAACTTTCATCTGTCTAACACTTCTCAAGATTAAGGAAGGACAGACAAACGGATGACATAAATTATGAAAGTTCAGAAATTCTTGATTGATTGGTTAATGCAAGACATTAGAACTTTAAGGTCATGTGGCTGGTGCAATTAACCCAGTTACCGCAAGGATCATAAGCAGCATATGTGGAGTATTACCCACGATAAATTATTATGTCTTTCTCCAATTCATAGTAAGATTCCCACAATGGTAAGTTGCATCTTATCATGAAACTGTCTACCAACCTCAGTTAAACTAATCTATCAGTCTATCTTTCTGCACATTTCTTTGTTGTTATAATACCACAGCAGACAAAATGTGGCTTGCGAGCCTCGTGCGGCTCTTCCAGATTCTTATTGGCTCCCATAAAGCTGTACAATTTCTTTTTATAACTTGAGATTTGCTACTTACATGTATATTATATTGTATATTGTATTCTTATATGCATTATGGAAGCTGCACCAAGGCTCTAGAAGAGCCATATGCAGCTCATGAGCCGCAGTTTGGCCACCGTGTTATGTTATAACAGATCACAAATTCTGTAAATGCCAATTAAGACAAAAAAATCTTACTTCACAACAGTTTCCATTTTCCTGGAGGCATCCTCTCCGTATAGAAGTCGAGGTCGGAAGAAACAGAGAAGATACATTAGAAGGGGTCCAAAATATTCCCAAAAGAACACCTTAAACAACACGTCAAAAAATTCAGCACATAAAAGCGTATTGAAGATTCTGGTTAGTTTAATAATTTAATGAATCTACTTACGGTAGTCCATCCTATCTGAGGACCGAGGTCTTTGAAGTAAAGCTCGCAATCACTCTTTAGATCCAACACCTGGAGTGAGATGCTATCTCCGAGTGACTTTCCCTCTGAAATAACATTTAGAGATTAAAACTTGGAAATTAAACTATTTAATAAATAAATTCACGACTAATACTCACTCGGTTCTAATCGTAGAGACTGGCGTTCAACGTATAGATGAGGTTCTGTTTAAATAAAACAATTAATTAAACTACAATCAAATTTATAAAAAATTGTTTCGGGATACGAATGTATAGTTTAGATTGGATATTATAAAATACAAGTGTAATTTAGAGCCCCCACATATAAATACAGTAATATAAATGGCAGCTTTCACAATAGGCTTTCATTTTTTGTCTTGCTGCAGGTATCATTCAAAGCAGATTTGCTCCTTCTTGGAAAACCCAAATGATAACAATCTGGTGGTAAAGTTAGGTATATTGTTTCTAGTTTCCAAGAGCATGAGTATGCTTTTGGATGGAGTTTTTGTTGTTAGACTATAATAGAAATTTCTCTATGAAGAGAAAACTATACTACTGTGATTTAAGCATTGCCTTCATTCTACTCTATTATTGCTCAGACCCAAATTAGAATGCAAGAAATGAAAACAATAACTAAAATAATCAGTTTGGTTCCATTCACTGGCTGAATGACTGAGGTTAAGGCATTAGTTGTAACTTTGGAGAGCCTGGGGCTCAAGTCTTAACTACTTTTGACGTTATCAAAGGTTCGTTATGCTGCGATTTCAAACACCAAGTGGGTCATAAATCCTGGGAATTTTTTGGTGATGATATGTCCAGAAATGTTGGGCTCCATTCCTCACCATCTAGCTGTACTTTTAAAACAAATTAATAGTAGTTTCTCTCCAATGATCTTAACACATAGCATACACTTCTTTAATTTCTTGGAGCTCAAAAACAAACTTACTCACTGTCTCATTCCAAGAACTTTTGGGCCTCTTGGTCCATTATTATCTATTAGAATTTGTTATGCATCCATCAGGTTTTTATAACCCCAAGGATGGACTGATAAACCTGAAAGTACTCTGGTTAATAGGGAGATTTCATTTCTTTTAGTCTGTACATTAGCTAAAAAGTGCGCATGCAAATTAAATAAATAAATACTGTCATATTAGAGGCTTTATATTTGTATTATGATAATGTGTAACACCATATACTGATGTACCAAGAACTTTGACGCATCGTGAAAATACATTTGTGTATTTTATAAGACTATTATTTTTTCATATTTGTTTTTATTCTGCATTTATATCCTTAAATATATGCTTACAATGCATCAAAACACAATTCATTTTATATTTTACTCTCACAAATCAGTAATTATATGTAACTATGAATTACGCTTATTTATTAAGCTTGCTTGTGCTTAACCTAGAATGACTAGAGTAACTGTATGTACTTTGTTATGCACAGATTAGTTTAAATGTCACCCGTGATCAACTGCACCAGTGTCAATACATTCAAATATTTTTTCCAGACCGGCAATTGGGAAGTACTAGTATAGTCTACTACTCATATATACGATACATAACACAACTGTAATATAACTATTTATGTATCTAAAACATATTTAAACACAGAAAAGGTTAAGAAACATGGACCTAACTTGTCTAAATCCCGGTGGGAAGCCTTGGATAACCTACAAAGCCAATCATTAGCTACCATTTGATAAATTATATGACTATATATGCTATTTAATACAGAGAAATTATTTTCTGAAAGGTTTGTGACGACTGGGGAGAAAAATAAACGAGTGCAATCATCTTACATCATCAAAGACACCGTCGCGTCACCCTCAATCGTCGGATAAAAGTGACTCAACCTCCTCCACAAACTGCTTAGGTAATTACTCAAATGGTCCCTTGTATAAATTATACACATTGCATTCTTATTTGTTATATCTCGTTATGTTTTCTCGGTATTTCTTCAATACATTTTCAGTTCTTTATATTTTTACTTAGAAATAACCGAATAAATTAAAAGCAAGACCATAATAAAAAATTTAAGACGCCTCCGTTTATATTAAGTATTTTAAGACCAAATTACTTAACAATATACCGAACACACATAAAAAAATATATTCTTACTTTCTTTAGCAATCAGCTTTTTGAGTTCTTCTATTGTCGAGGTCGGTTCGGCCTATTCAAAATAAACATAATTTACCAATTAATTTACGAAAATAATTCGCGTTACAAAAATTATCCTCGAACTCTTTAATGCATTACGACATACAATATAATTGCCGTAATGTGTATTTTATTTATAAACTAGAGCATTCCGGTTTGCGTTACAACCGAAAAAACAAAAGAAAAACCCACAAAATATACATATCTGACCACAAGAAACATGTTTAGCAAATCTATTTTATAATTTTCCTGGTATGAAAGGGCAAAATGTAGATAAATCTATACAAAAAATGGTCGGGATGAAAATATATAACATGTTTTCCTGAAGATTTTACACACCAATGATTTTCTATATTAATTAAATTCCTTTGACTCAATTTACAGAATAGTGTATATGACTTATTTCTTTTTTTTTGTCGAACAGAAGCTATTTTTGTTTGGCTTTTCCTCCTTCGGTCAGAGTATGTGTATTTCCCTCTTTCCTTTTCCTAAATTCTGCAATAGTTTTAGCTTCGGAAGGTTAATAAATTGCGACACTCCGTCACCGGAACGTCCGAAATTTGCTTACGTTGAGGACCGCCAGCACCTTCTTGCTCGCTCCGCTCAATATTTGGACCTGGAAATAATAAATTAACATTAGGATACATAAAATTATCTAGAACATTATGAAAAAACACTGCTCTACACTAAAGTAGTTCACCTAATTTGATGTCTTTTGCATGTTTAAATGTTTAATAATGTATTTTAAAGACTGTTAATTGAGTTTATACATTTAAATCATGCTTAATTGGGTTTTATAAGTGTTTATTATGGTTTTAAATTAATAAAAATAGGTACTTACCTTCATTTGTTGAGTAAATTGGAAGGGAAAGCGAGGTGTAATGTGTTACTGCGATGGAAACTAGTTTATTACTGTGGTGAGGAAAGTGTTGTGCAGTAAACTGATCACGTGTTATTAGGAAACACTACACAAAACAAAAAAATTAATTAATTTCAACAATAACTGGGAAAATTTATTATATTTATTTATTCAAAACATAAAATAATTAGCTTACAAATTTAAGGTTAATATTATTTATTTTATAAACGAATTTTCTGAATTAAAAATGGCTCCTTTTCTTTGATCGATTTCAAAAATTTAAATTCTCAAAAATAATCAATTCGCGTGTGACGTATGACGTGGCCTTGAACTCTAACTCTCGTTGAAAACGGGAAAAATGTTCGCTTCGATAGACTAAATCTCGGAACGCCTCATTTTACGTCATCGATCTTAATTCAAAAATAATTTTTTTTAATATTTAAAAATTTTAAAAGTTAATTAACGCATAATAATTTTTATGTTGTAAGTTTTAAAATTAACTTATAAATACATTTGTAAACAATTTTTTATAAACATCGATGTCGATGGAAGAGCGGAGGGGGAGGAACCGGAATAGATTCCGGACGAGTCGAAAAATAGCAGGGAATTTTTCGGGGGTGATCCGTACAAATATGTGGGGCCGAAGATATAATGGGCTTGCCAAAAACAGGCCCTCAGGGAGGAAGGAGTTTTAATAGAAAATCAATGTCTATGAAAGCCGTGTACCTTCACAAAACATAAATGAAAGAAAATTTTTAGAATTAAATGATTAATCGTTTCTCTTCTCTCATTATAATTCAGAAAACAGGTTCTGGAGATTTTATACGTTTGGCTTTCAGGAAATATTTATGGAGAATTTCGTAACTTTAAAAAAAAAAAAACATATTGATATATATAGTAGTGAATTACCGGTATATTTCTACTGTAAAAAATACTATAATTTATTTTTAATTTCTTAACCAAAATATTCGATTTAAAGCTAAATTTGAAGTACAGTACATTGCATTTTATGATACAAAATAATAAGCCACGGCGTTTTTAAGCATCTGAAATTAATACACTTAAACGTGAAAACCGCTTCGTATAAATATTATATATTAAAAAATGGCGTAAACGTAGAGGAAGAAAACTTGTTTTTAAAGAAATATAACTTTCATGTAATAATTTTATAAGTAAATAAATATTTTATTATTCGATTTATTTTAAGAATTTAATGCCGAATCCTTATAGTAACGCATTCTTTTAAGCCGCGTGTTCGCCATATTTAGTCCAGTTGTTGATACTGTATTCAGAAAACAGTACGCGTTGTGATACTTAATTAATGTTAATTAAACAGTCATATTGCGGCATTGTTATACATAAAACCACAAATAAAACAATATGATCAAAACTGTAAACGTTAACAATACTAAAAAGGAATAAATATGGCTTCCAAAGATCGCTCTTTCCGTTATGTAATGTGGTTCCTAGATGATAGAGTAACACGCTTCAAAGCCATCCGCCATAATTATGCAACATTCTAATTTTGTCGCTGTGTTATTTTATATAGTTTTAATTACTATTGATATTAACTTACACCCAAATGTAATAACAGAACGAGTGCTACCAACTTACGAAAAAGAAATTGCCATTAATTATCCCGTAATAAGGAAAAGCAAAGTTATTACAGTCGACCCCCCTATAAGATAGAGATACGTTCCATTCTTTAGGAATCCGATTTCTCACTAATCCTTCCAATCACAACCCGACACGTGTGAAGTTTACGGACTACGGCTGATTGAAAGATTTTCTTCCATAAAATTAATCGATTCTAGACTAATCCGACTCAACATTTCCAAAACACGTATATATTTTTTGGAAATAATCCGTATAAACTACGCTATAAATAAAAAATTGTAGGATTACTTACCGAGTGTCACCATCCGACATCGCCATTGCTCAAAGACGATAGAAATCTCTCCGTAGCGTGGCGCTACGGACGGCGGGAAAGTAGTTCGGCTGCCCGATGACGTTTGAGGTGTTTATAGGGAACTTTTACTATTTTTTACGGATACCGGTAGCAATTTTTTCGTAGTTTTATAGGAATCGTAATTATAGGGACCGTAATTATAGGGGGGTCGACTGTATATTAATAATTTCCTCCATTCGACTGCATTTATTACATTCCGAAAAATTATTTATTAAATAATATTAATAGTACTTCTGTAATTCTATCACCGAATTGCTGTGATTTGTGCAAATGAAAACATTATTTTAGTATTGACGTCAACAAAGTATAACAATGTTTAATTAAGCACAGTTCACGTAATAAAACAGCTTAGCAATTCCCTTTTATCTGGTTTGTTGGGCCTGGCGGCAATTTGTAGATTTTTCTCACAGAGCGGCGCTGCTGTACTGTCTATTGTCTGCTGTCATACGAGTGAAAATTACTAATTTTTCGCATTTTTCTGCGCCATTTTGTACCTCGAATACATGAAAAATATGCCAATCAACGAGCTAGAATATTGGTGTCAACTGATGAAATTAGAGGTATCAAAGAGGTACTGAAGGCAATTGAATCATAAATGAAACTGCTTGCAACCAGACCTTATAACATTATGCAGAACAATATTTGTTCTGTAACAATGGCCTACATTGGTGGTACTCAGAGTTACAGAAGAGCATATTGATTGTTCTGGCTGTTTGGATATGACTGAATCAGTGAAGACAAGACTCTAGTTTCTTCTATGAATCTAATAAATTTAAATGATGGTGGGGGACTTATATCCATAGCCAGAATTTATATTTTTGTCACAACTAGAAAACCAAATTGAATTTTCTCTACCATCTTTTAGTCGCCAGTCAGCTGTGGTATTTCGTCTGTGCAAGATTAATGTTGACTCAGCATATATCTATGGGATTTCTCTTGTATGATAAGTCTGTTTTATTGTGGGCTGTGCTTGAACGAAGTAGAATATACTACATAGAGTGGCTGTGACTTTACATACAGCGCTCTTGATGGCAACGATGATTACTATCGACCGCCATTTTATTTTAGGTTAAAACATCGAAGTCTATACCGTGTGTTGGTCAGGATTGTTACTTTAGAATCTATTTTCCTCGTTTAAATCTAGTTTGTTTTGTTTGCCCCTAGATTTCAGATTTAGGCAAATGATATAAATCTAGATTGTTTCATCTCGAATTTAGCTGTTTTCTACATTATATTTTATTATTGTAAAGAAGGTAAGATCAGGGTTTCATTAAAATAACAAATGTAGTACTTAACCCTTAATATAACAATGTTTTTATAATCTAAATACGAGCCACGTCTTGAAGAGCTTTACTGTCAGCCATATCATTGTTTATTTATAGTGTACTCCGATCAGTGTGATCCGTACCGTACTTGGTACGTTGTTAATTTTTTTTCGGGCAGTGTTTTTTCTTTTGCAAAATATAAATTGTGTTTTTGTGTTTTTACAATATTTATAGTTTGTAAATTTTGGTTTCAACTTGTGAAAATATTTACAATGAAAAACTACATTTTGAACTTTGTCATATTATGTGAATCACATTTTTTAATTTAAAATCCTTCTAAGAGGTAATAAGGAGCTAACAATTGTGGGAAATGGAAGAAGTATTGCATTTTCCCATCAAAAATAGACAAATAAAACATGTCAGTAAGTAAGACTGATATGTAGAAACTGCACTATATTAAGACATGCCTATATTAAGATTATATTAAAAGCGATTAAAAAATTACCAATCTGAAAAACAGTGTTAAATAGGCGAAATAAAGTGAATTCTTTTAATATTGGTCTCTGTTAAACTCTTCCTTTCCTTCACACACTTTTACACAACGAGCTAGAATATTCTAGCAGCTAGCTCGTTGCCTTTACACAACTCAAATGGCACGTCCCCTTGACTAAAAAGAAAATGGCTGACGTTTATTCAATTTTTTTAAAACATGGCGTTGCTACAGCCACTCTATGTATTGTATTCTAGCTCGTTGGAACATCAGATTCTTAAATGGAACCACCATTTTTTATTGCATATTAATTAACGATAGCTAGTACATGAAAAACTTTTTCCGAAAATTGCAATTATCGTAAGTTAAGAGCATCTAAAGTTTTAAAACGCTGTCACACTATGCATGGGTATATGAATATCTGCAAAGTCCATTTCATGGAAGAGAAATGACGCGGATCAAAACAATAGCCCGTATTCCCTAATGCAGGGATTTTAACAGAAAAAAAAAGTTATACCGTAGGGAATAATCCCGATTATTTTAATTAGAGAACGATATGGGGAGAATATATAAAAATGCGTTTTATTATGATCGTAAATTATAGATTTATTTACATAAAGAAATAATTCTGCTTAAGAAGTTAAAAATAATTACAAATTAACAGTTTTTTTCGCCAAATATTTTCGTTTAAATTTGCAAATTCGTCATATTTATTACCATGATTAGCAAAATAACGTATTATTTTGCTTATAACTTATGAAATCGACTTCAAATCATACATATAAAAATTAGAATAATATTTTAGAATTAATTTCGATTGTTTATAGCCTTAAATGACAATTTACGCTATGATGTTAAAAAATCGCAATATTTAAATAACTACGCTAAAAAATTAATCTTTTCTAAACATTTCGTTGGAGAAGTTTATACTTTATAATTTTTCAATATAAAGTTTGTAAAATTCTTATAATTTATTGAAATAATCGTACATTTTGTACAAATTTCACGCACATTTACCATTTCGGGAGTGAATTACCGATAACCAAAGTTTATTTTTGTGTTCTTATATTTAATAACTTATTTTTCTGCTAATAGTTCCTTGAACTTCGGAGACATCATTAATATAAATAATTTTAATAGGTTATAAAAAATAATTTGAATCCTATATGGAGACCTTTTACAATAAAAATGCAAAACCTTGGAGGAAATAACCCAGAAACAGGAATTTTAGTAAGTTTTTAATCAAAATAAATAGATTTCTTAACTCAATTAATTTTATTTGTACAAAAAATTAAATTTTATGTGAAATAAATATTTTTAAAAATTTTCTTGCATCACAGAATTATTAAAAATCTCTCCTCTCTTTCCTCGTTTCTTTTCCTACCAATTGCAATGAATATAACAATTATGTTACAATATATATCGATTATTGCTTTTGTAATAATGACGAGCTATCCACCTGCGCTAACACTCGAGACTTAGGAGGAACAAACTGAGGTATTAACAGGAACTATCGCTTACTAAAGAACAGTAAATAGATTATATTCAAATTTAACATCCGTCTGATAACATAGCAATAAGAATAAAATAATAATAATAAATCTACGAGGAACAAAAAAAAAAAATAATAATAATTATAATATAAACCGGAAAATCAAAATCTGCAATAAAATTACATTAATAACATGATTTCTATATATAATTTTTTTCTCTCTTAACATAGAAATAAAATTATTCCTGAGAATTAATAGTTTACCTAAAATTTCATATTAGGTATACTCTAACTTAGTAACCCTATGCTCTGACCAGAGAATATTTTCAATTAGGAGAACAACATGCTCATAACAATAACATGAATTAATTTACATTGCAATGAATTAAGTGAAATGATGATCGAATAAAACAAAATACGTTGTTTCGTTTTTCTTTTTTTTTTTTTTAAATCCTATCTTTTATCCCGAGCAGCCGATCGATTCTTGTCATCGCTGCCACGCTTCTTCCCATTGCACTCTCCGTCGGTCCTTCGACGTTCTCAATACCCCGACGTGGTCGACGATCGAAAGCAAACTATGAACTGTAAACTGTCAATATGACTTAATGAGAAAGCACTTGTATATTGCTCATAGGACAGCAGTAATTTTTATATTACACCATCTCTAGTAGTTGGCATGTCTTGAGCAAATGGACAAAGCAGAGTTTCCTTCCCACCTAAGAAGGCGGAGATTTATTTGGTGTAGAGGGTGCACTTCCGGTTTGGCTGCTGGCGTCTATTGCTTCGCTGGTGTGAACGACCGAGAAGAATCGTTCTGCGGAATGAAAAATGGAGTGAAGCGGATGAATGGGAAAGACCAAATGAAATTCTTAAAGATTTCTTACCATCGGCACCGATGATGTGAGGAGGATCAGAATCTGGATTGGTACCGGGTATAAGGCCAGCCATCATGTTGTAATCTATATTTATGTTCTCGTCCAGGGTCATGAAAGGACCGCTCCACCGCGGAATTGGTGTCGTTCGGGGAGTGGAACGGGGTGTCGTCACCGGCGACGTGAACATGCTGAGGTTGGTGGGGCTGATGACTCCGCTCATGGCACTCACTGGACTAATGTTGGGGTAAGAGAACAGCTGAAACGAAAACAACTGATTGTTGGATTAAAACGAGGCAGTTCTGGGTTAACGTCCTTGAATTTTATTTTGAATATAAAAAAAAAAAATATCCAAANCAAAACTGATAGAAATTCTTAGTTTTCTGACGTAGTTCCTTATTTTAATTAATAAAATAATTAATTTAATAACAAATTTTGAGATTAATAGCAATTTAAAATAATTTCTGGTTGCCATTTAACGGTGTAATTAAATAATTATTAATTCTAAACTGTGACAATAGATGGAAGCACAGGTAAAATTTTATTTTATAATTTAAAATAATTATATATAATAGTACAGGAAGAGTAAATATAAAAATAAATATTATAATCTTTAATTACGTTTAAATATAAACTAACTTTTAAAACAAATAATAACTTCAGACAAATTAAGTTACAAAAAAAAATCATTTTATTTTTTAGATTGGCTAGCAGATGGCACTACGATAAATCTTAAAATAACTGATAAAAAATATTTTAAAAGTTTTTTAATTTAAACGAATAGTTCGAAACACTTTATTTAATAATAACGTTATAAGAAATTAAATTTACAGGTTAAAAATTAAACATTTATAAAGATTTCAACTCGAAGCTTATAAAATTACGCGACAGATGGCGACGCGTCGAACTCGACATTTACGCGCCGATAAAATTATAACACTTATTCATTAGAAACCATTTACTATTTATTCAGCGATTATTTAAATGGTGTCGTGATTTCCGCGATAAAAGATACAAAATAAACTTAGCGATGGTAAGCCGATCCGAAAATATATAATTATATCCGTTATCAAGAGATAGCGCCACCCGTTACGGTTTGCGATGACGTCAATGTTGTCTCGTCATTTCTGGAACATTCGATGGCGATGTTATATATTTGATTGCGAGCGGTTCCGCCCGAGTTTATATTACGAATTTTAAGAGGAAAGGACGTACATTTAATAGTCGAAATCGAATTAATTAAGCAAAGAAGACAACGGTAAGTGTCTTCCTCCTCTAATTATTCCATATATTTGTTGTTTTTGGATGGCATTTGCTGTTTATTTAGTGGCCATACTTATAAGGAAAACGACGACGTTCGAATGAACTAAATACCGCTTTTTTAAAAACGGCGTAACACTTACCGTTTCGGTCTTCGTTTCTCGCTGTTACTTAACATATTTTCCGTCGGTTTCCTTAAATACTCGATGAAATTCCTCCGAATTTTGTTTAAAATGGCATTTCTTCAATACGACACCCTCTCGAGTTATTTAGCGTAGACTCCACCGATTCGTGATTAAATTCTTAATCCAGCAGCTTGATTGTGTTTAAAACTTACTACCTTGGCCTTTGCAGATTGTGAAGCTGAAGGGTGAGCGTACAAGTGTTTTATGGTCACCCTTCAGTTTCACAAAGAAAGCTTTCATCCTTCAATTTCCATAGATCCAGCTTCACCCTTCAGTTTTCACGCATCTATGGAAATTGAACTTTGAACTTTGAATCTGGATCTGTCTTCACCCTTCCTTCCATAGAAACAGCTTCTCATCATTTTCTTTACATCCAGCTTTGCCCTTCAATTTTCATACATCCATCTTTACCCTCTTTTCCATACATCCATCTTTACCCCTCAGTTTCCATGCATCCATCTTTACTCCTCATTTTCCATACATCCATCTTTACCCCTCAGTTTCCATCGATCCATCTTTATCCTTCACTTTCCACAGATCCAGCTTCACTCTTCAGTTTCCTTAGGTCTAGCTTCACCCTCCTGCTTCATAAAGCCAACTTTCACAGATCCAGATTCAAAAAGGCCATCTTTTTTCTTTTTGATCCAGCATCGTAAAGCCAACTTTCAGTAGTTAATTTTGCTATAATTTTTTTTAAGGCTTACTTTAGCATTAAAATTGCTGTATTTGTGATTTGGGGTGTCAAATCGAGAAGTCGACCGATTGGTGCCGTCAATTGCTTTTAACAAAGAGAATTGGCAATGGATTAACTAAAGATCTGTACATTCACCTTAAAGGCAACCCGATCGACAATTACTTAGTTTAAAGTCGTGCGGCGTTTGACAATCGATAAATAAATATCGCCGCTTAAAATAGAATGTTTGTAGGTAAAGATCTGGATCTAGGTTCTCTCACCTGGTGATAAATTGGGATCTATGCCATGTGCGACCGATCGTTTGGATACCCCGAGTTATGTTAAGGTGGGGGCGAGTTAGTTTTCGCGGTTTCGATATTATTAGGTTTCCTGGACATAGACCAAGTGAAAAAAGTTAGCGGCGGAAGGTATTTACTACGAACAAATGGAAATGTGTGCTCGGCCGTGACATTACGTAGTCTACCTGCACGCTAATCCTCTTAATTTTATTCCTAGCTCATAGTACCTTCCCAAGCAGATATTTCTTGCTTGGAGTAACAGTACACACACCGACTGCATTTGTTCCTAAATAATACAGGTGCTGTTGGAGGGTGATATTTTTAAAAAAATTCTTGGTATTGTTTATGTTAAGTAGTCATATGGAAGTCGGTTTATTCTACGAATCGGTGTTTCTCTTTGTATGTTACCGCTTTGCGGATTGCCGTTTAAGGCAAATGATATTTTAATTCCCAAAGCAAAGCACTAATTTTGCTGTTCAGAATAATTTTAGTAAATTAGAGATTTATCATCTCTTCTAATTGTAATTAACAAGTTAAACTTTTTTGACTATTTTTAAAGGGAGTTGTCATTTTTCTTCCTCAAATTTGGATTCGAAAGCCTATTTTTAGAACTTTAATAAGATAACTTAACAAAACTTGCTGCAACACACTTCTAATTCATTTCTTAGGAATTTCTTGGAAGTTCCAAAGGAAACGATATCATTGCTTTAGTCATGAACTTCAAAATAATAAAGGTTAAAGGTCATTTGGTTGACTATTGTCTTATCATAAATACTTTTTTTAAATTTAAGCTTGATGTCGGAGTGGTTTACATTTAGATTCAAGGACAGATAGATAGTTTCAAGGTTAATGATATTTGTGACTTGTTTACAAAAAGTGGTGTGGAGTTGATTTTTGTTCTTTCAATTATTACAATTGTTAATACTAAGTTTTTTTTTTTTTGTTTAGCAACTGGTGATATTGCAGAATGGGGAAAGATTATTATAAGATTCTTGGCTTGAGTAAAAATGCCAGTGAGGAAGACATAAAGAAGGCCTATAAGAAGCTGGCACTGAAGTATCATCCCGACAAGAATAAGTCTCCGGAAGCGGAGGAGAAGTTCAAGGAGATTGCAGAAGCGTACGAGGTTCTTAGCGACAAAAAGAAGAGGGATGTTTACGATCAGTTCGGTGAAGAAGGTTTGAAAGGCGGTACTCCTGGCGGAGGAGGAATGGGTGGAGGACACGGATTCACTTACACTTTCCACGGTGATCCGAGAGCGACGTTCGCACAGTTCTTTGGCACGGACAATCCCTTCGAGTCTTTCTTCATGGGAGGGATAGGAGGACACGGTCAAGGAGGCAACATTTTCTTTATGGACGACGACATGGAAGTCGACACGGATCCTTTTGCCTCTCATTTCGGCACCAGGGCCAATCCGTTCAGGTCTCAGAGTTTTACGGCCGGCAGTCCGCACATGACGCGATCCAAACCGCAGAAACAGGACCCACCCGTGGAACACGATCTTTACGTTTCTCTAGAAGACATATTTAAAGGATGCACTAAAAAAATGAAAATCAATCGTAAGGTTCTCAATCCAGACGGAAGGACCACCCGCAGGGAAGAGAAAGTATTAACCATCAACATCAAGCCGGGTTGGAAGGCGGGAACCAAAATCACCTTTCAGAAGGAAGGCGACCAGAGTCCGAATGCCATTCCGGCGGACATCGTGTTCGTCGTCAGGGACAAACCCCATCCCACCTTTAAACGAGAGGGCAGTGACATTAGATACGTAGTTAAATTAACGCTCAGAGAGGTAAGTTTCGGATCTCAAACGTACATTTCGGGCACATTCTCTTTCATACAAATTCTAAAAGTTTCTCATTACTTGCAGGCTCTCTGCGGAACCAAAGTGGACATCCCCACGTTGACGGGAGAAAGGATAAGCCTCCGCCTGACTGACATAGTTAAACCGAACACAGTGAAGAGAGTGGCGGGACAGGGACTGCCGTACCCCAAGGACATAAGCAAGCGAGGGGACCTCATAGTGGCCTTCGACATCAAGTTCCCAGACTACCTGAACGAACCCACTAAACAGATACTTTCGGACTGTCTTCCATGAGAGACCAGACCACGCTTAACTTATTGTCGTCAGTAGTATCTACGGATAGATCGGCCGGCGGGGGTTTGCGGACCCAAAGCAGGCGGCGAGGACCTGTCCGGCCGGGACCGTGCAAGAGGCACTCGCGAACTTTACTAATAGCTTGGCTCAAACTGTATATAAATTCGTGTAAATAAACGAGGGTGAAGTTTTTTTAAACCTTTGTGTGTGTGTGTGTAGTTTTAACACGTCTCCAACATTGCCAAATCTGTTAAAATACTACAGTTAAATATAGAACACCCCAGTTTTTCTCTGGAGTACCTTTAAATCGTCGGTACAGAGTACACCAGCGGGGGGACGAAAGGTCAGTCACGTGTCGACCCACACAAACGGGCAAGGTCGAACCCACATCCTTATAAAAACCCACGTTGACGTCCAAACACGGTCGGGTCAAGGTATTTAAAAGCAAGGATACGTTAACCCACGAATTTCTCGTGACGAAATCGAAGCCGTCTGCTGTAGAAAGTAAAACGAGTTTTCGAGATTAGGTCAAGTCACGTGGGAGGAAAGATGTGGAATGGCACGTTCTAAATACGGAACGTGACGTCGCGGGCGTGTGGGTGGCCGGTGGAGTAAAACGACACCGCCTCGAGCTTACTCCACTTTTGAGTATCGACCCGCTTTTTTATTTGTTTTTTCCCCTTCCTTTTCGAATCGAGATTTACGGATTACGCGACGACGTCAATCTTCTAAATATGGACGAGTCGCGACCCCCTTTATTTTTACAGATGGCGCTGTTGACGGAAGTTTCCGTCCGCGTTTCTAATTTTAGCGCGTGGCAATTATTATTATCGTCGTCGTCATTTTAACGGATATTTGCGCGATAAATTTGCGAACGTCGGTAAGTGACGTAAGAACGACGCCATTTCTAATCGGTCGATGTTGCCAACTCTCGCAAACGGTGACGTCACACAGAAAATAAGCCTCGCTAGGTAAGAATTTTTATTTCATATTACAGGGAATCCACTACAGTTTTGTTTGAGAGTATTTTTTTTTCATTCCCAAACCAATAAAAACATAGTTCTGTACAAACAAACTTTTTCTTTTTAAAATAATTCTCTACTCAGAATACAACAAATTTATTTATTATTATTATTTTTTTTTTTTTTATTTTCCCAATTGTACTTCTGCATAATTTCAACAGTCACACCATTGGCCAATATAATAAGATGCTTCAACTTTTTTTTATTGTTGTGCATTCCCATATCTGTCTGTGAATATAGTAGGAAAAACTTAACACGTATACAAAAATTTTGTTTTTTTTTTTATACCTGTACTAATATAATCCCACAATCATTCTATCAGATATTCCAAAAATTTATACACAATATTAGTATTTTTTTTTTTCTTCACAAAATAAACAGTCCTAACTGTGTTTATAAAGGCAGGAGAGAGAAAAATCTATTAAATCTATATAATGCGGGCGGTACGTGTGTGTGTGTGTGTCGCCGCCCGCTATATATTTCTTATATAAAAATTTATTTTATCATATAATAATTTTTTCCATAAATACACAAACATTCCATTACAGAAAATAAAGAGCGTCGACGTCTTTACGGCACTGACCAAAAGAACGGGCTAAAATCAGGTGACCGAAATTAAGTATTGTGTACGTGTATGTATGTGTGTATGAGTGTTTTGTGTGTGTCATCTCGCGAGCCAGCAGACGGATGGGCGCGCGGCGAAGTGCGCCCGTCCCCGCCGGCCCTCCGCGGGTGCGTCCCGTCCGTCCGTCCGGAGATGTCTTGCCTGCAGAAGAGAGAGATCACGTGCGGCGCCTGCGTGACGAGACGCCGAGAGAGGACTCGTCGATTAAAAAATATCCGAATACAAAAATTGTCGTGGTGTTTTCGTGTGTGTTTGTGTGTTACGCTACTACTCAAATTAAATTTTCCTTTTTTTTTTTTTTATTTTTTTTTCGGTTTTTGTTTTTCTTAGAAATTGAATAAAAACGCACCTGGTGGGTTCCGCGCGTGCCCGCCCATTAACGTCGGGAAGGGCACGACGCGAGGTTCTCGACACGAAAAGGCTACTTCTACGATTAACGTGTCGTCGTTTTTACTTTTTTCTCAATGGAGGATTAAAAAACACGCAGAAACATTTGGGAATTCTTAATGCCGTAGCTAAGAATTAGAGGGAAAAAGAGTTATAGATAGATAGAGATAGAGATAGAGATAGAGAGAGAAAAAGAGAGAGCGTGTAAAATTCCCCCCCGTTATGCATAAAAATCTAATTAATATATATATATATATGTGTGTATATATATATATTATTTATATATACCGGGGTTTGTTTTTCCTTAAGAAGTTCTAAAAAGCTGAAATTGGACTAGTGAAAAGTTTGTTTTTTTTTTTTAATAAGGCTAGGCCTGGGAAAAATCACAGCATGAAGAAAAATGACTGTACAATCCTAGAATATTTTCCTATCCAAAGGAAAATTCATTTATTATTTGGCTCATATTATTATATATATGTATATATATAAGTGTATGTATGTATATATACATATATATATATATATGTATTTATATTGTTTTTTATTATGTATGTATCCAAATATGTTGTGCTTCCAAGCTATATCCTACAAAAGAGATTTGAAAAATGATTTTCACCTACTTCTATAAGAATGCATGCTCGTTATATATATATTATATATATATAATCCTGAGTATTGAAGGGAAAAAGGATTATCTTCCGGCATTTGTAAACTCGGCTTCGTTGTTCCAACGGGTAAGGCCATTTCCCCGGAGGGTGACGAACGTTTGCCTCAAATCTACGTGACTATAATTGGGGAGGAAAAAGATATACATATATATACATACATATACACATATTTAAAAAAAAAAACAAAATTGTAATAACAAACTTGAACCACATGCTCTTCCGCTTCATCTCTTAAATGCCACGTTTTATATATATATAAATAGATGATGACAATGATGATAATAATAATAATAATAAAATCTTAAGAATGTGGCAGATTCAAGAGACTATGCTACGTCTAAACTAATTTAAAAAAAAAAAACCAATTAAATTATTGGCGATGGGAAAGATGTGGAATGGCACGTTCTAAATACGGAACGTGACGTCGCGGGCGTGTGGGTGGCCGGTGGAGTAAACCGACACCGCCTCGAGCTTACTCCACTTTTGAGTATCGACCCGCTTTTTTATTTGTTTTTTCCCCTTCCTTTTCGAATCGAGATTTACGGATTACGCGACGACGTCAATCTTCTAAATATGGACGAGTCGCGACCCCCTTTATTTTTACAGATGGCGCTGTTGACGGAAGTTTCCGTCCGCGTTTCTAATTTTAGCGCGTGGCAATTATTATTATCGTCGTCGTCATTTTAACGGATATTTGCGCGATAAATTTGCGAACGTCCGTAAGTGACGTAAGAACGACGCCATTTCTAATCGGTCGATGTTGCCAACTCTCGCAAACGGTGACGTCACACAGAAAATAAGCCTCGCTAGGTAAGAATTTTTATTTCATATTACAGGGAATCCACTACAGTTTTGTTTGAGAGTATTTTTTTTTCATTCCCAAACCAATAAAAACATAGTTCTGTACAAACAAACTTTTTCTTTTTAAAATAATTCTCTACTCAGAATACAACAAATTTATTTATTATTATTCTTTTTTNATATATATATATATATATAAATATATATATGTGTGTGTATATATGTAGGTATGGTATGGAGGTTTAGTAAAATGGCCTTGCATAGCTTATTATGAATCTAAGTTTTCAGCTACATGAAGAGAATTTATCTAGATGCAGTGTTGGCAAATATTTTGTATTTTGAGCTATAAAAGTTAATTCTTACTATGCAAAAATGTTTTAACTATCTAAGTTCTCTATGTTTTTTCCTTTTTTTTTTTTTAAATCTAATCTTATGAGGATACATGCTGAACACAATCGGAAGATTTCGCTCTTTTTGCCTTCACGAGTCGTTCCGCTTTTATTTCGCCCGTTTGTTTCCTTTTGGCTGCGGTCGCTCCGAGACGGGGTCCGACGGAAACGAGGACCGGAAGCAAGAGAGAGAAAGAGGGAGGGGACGCCCTCCGGAGGTTCGATCCGCATTGCCGTCGGAGAGAGAGAGAGAGAGACCCCGTCTCGCGCGCTGTGAGAAAAAAAGGAGAAGAGAAATCGTTCTAATAAATATTTTTAAAAATTTTCTTGCATCACAGAATTATTAAAAATCTCTCCTCTCTTTCCTCGTTTCTTTTCCTACCAATTGCAATGAATATAACAATTATGTTACAATATATATCGATTATTGCTTTTGTAATAATGACGAGCTATCCACCTGCGCTAACACTCGAGACTTAGGAGGAACAAACTGAGGTATTAACAGGAACTATCGCTTACTAAAGAACAGTAAATAGATTATATTCAAATTTAACATCCGTCTGATAACATAGCAATAAGAATAAAATAATAATAATAAATCTACGAGGAACAAAAAAAAAAATAATAATAATTATAATATAAACCGGAAAATCAAAATCTGCAATAAAATTACATTAATAACATGATTTCTATATATAATTTTTTTCTCTCTTAACATAGAAATAAAATTATTCCTGAGAATTAATAGTTTACCTAAAATTTCATATTAGGTATACTCTAACTTAGTAACCCTATGCTCTGACCAGAGAATATTTTCAATTAGGAGAACAACATGCTCATAACAATAACATGAATTAATTTACATTGCAATGAATTAAGTGAAATGATGATCGAATAAAACAAAATACGTTGTTTCGTTTTTCTTTTTTTTTTTTTTAAATCCTATCTTTTATCCCGAGCAGCCGATCGATTCTTGTCATCGCTGCCACGCTTCTTCCCATTGCACTCTCCGTCGGTCCTTCGACGTTCTCAATACCCCGACGTGGTCGACGATCGAAAGCAAACTATGAACTGTAAACTGTCAATATGACTTAATGAGAAAGCACTTGTATATTGCTCATAGGACAGCAGTAATTTTTATATTACACCATCTCTAGTAGTTGGCATGTCTTGAGCAAATGGACAAAGCAGAGTTTCCTTCCCACCTAAGAAGGCGGAGATTTATTTGGTGTAGAGGGTGCACTTCCGGTTTGGCTGCTGGCGTCTATTGCTTCGCTGGTGTGAACGACCGAGAAGAATCGTTCTGCGGAATGAAAAATGGAGTGAAGCGGATGAATGGGAAAGACCAAATGAAATTCTTAAAGATTTCTTACCATCGGCACCGATGATGTGAGGAGGATCAGAATCTGGATTGGTACCGGGTATAAGGCCAGCCATCATGTTGTAATCTATATTTATGTTCTCGTCCAGGGTCATGAAAGGACCGCTCCACCGCGGAATTGGTGTCGTTCGGGGAGTGGAACGGGGTGTCGTCACCGGCGACGTGAACATGCTGAGGTTGGTGGGGCTGATGACTCCGCTCATGGCACTCACTGGACTAATGTTGGGGTAAGAGAACAGCTGAAACGAAAACAACTGATTGTTGGATTAAAACGAGGCAGTTCTGGGTTAACGTCCTTGAATTTTATTTTGAATATAAAAAAAAAAATTATCCAAAATTAATGCAAAAGAAACAAATAACTTTAAAATTTACCTGTGGAGCTTGAGGATGAATATGGGCAAATGTGTGTTCAGGTCGTGATAATGTCGTGAAGGGGCTACTCATGACCGATCTATTCACAGGTGAAGATTCTGCTGCACTGCTGACATTTGAACCAACTGAAATATCAATAAAATTGCCAGATTTATTACAAAGTATAAATAAAATATCAGTTAAAACCTTAGAAAGGAATATATACTTTAGAATATTAATTTTTTCTGTGTTATTTAAGTAGAAATAAACTGAATTCTAAGGTTAAACTGTCTTACTTTTCCAATTATTCTGATCCAAAAAATTATTTTCCCAACTCCATACTGACCTGTCACTACTACAGGTGGAGATGGAACTTGATCTCTGACATCCTGGCCTATTGTACTAGGTACAGATGTGTCTGGACCAGGAGTACCACTACTTCCGGTGGGTGTTGTTGTACCGGTAGGAGGACTAGGAGTGGAAGAACTAAGATCTGATTAAAAAAAAAAAAAAAAAAAAACAGAAAATAACTCTTACATTAAATTATTAACAGTTAGGAGAACTCGCATGGAGATTGTTTCCTACCTGTCGACCTAATTATGGCAACGGGACGAGCCATCGGAGCGGGAGGCGGAGGCGGAAGCATGGAGCTCGTATAAAAGTGAGGCAATTTCGTCGGACTGCGTACTCCGGACTCCGAGCTCGACTGAAAACGTAACGACAAAACGTGAGCATCCAAAAAGACCCTCCTTAGCTACAAAAACACAAAATGTCGACAATACCTGTGAATTCGTCCCTGAATTTTGAGCTTCCTGACAGACTAAATTGACAAAATCAGACAAAGTGTCTCCATTTTCTTGATATTTTCCAGGCGAGATGTAGTACGGGCTGGAAGAAGATATCTGACTGGCAAGATTAGAAGTCGATGTTATAGTTATAGGCCCGTGCTGTGGTAAACCTGTAGAATGTGGTTAACATTTACATGTGTACACGCAAGAATTTTAAATATAAAAAAATGCCTCATTAAATGAATATCTTAAAATAAGTTTTATATATTTTCTTAATATGGTAGAATCTTGATTAACAAAGACTCGAATAATATAAAATCTTGGTTAAACAAGGCAAACTGTGGAAGAGTACAGTTAATAAACATAAAACAATGGAGTACAGTGCAATTTGTTTCACTAAAAATAAAACAAAGTAACGGAACAAAAACAAAGTAACCGTTCCAAAAATATTTAGTTACATCTTCGAGCTGTTTACCGATTGATTCTACGCATTGTTTTGTAAAAAGAATAATGTAATTTGCATTATTCTATAAAAAATGAGATAAATATTATATAGGACAACTATATTATAAAGATTCCTTCCTTATGTAAACAATCTCAGTTCCTGCCGACACATTTTCCGACAGGTACTGTAGATTGACTACTCGAGCTCTCATTAATTTTAAACGTGTTTCAGTTTCTCAGACTATGTCAAGGTCAATCTCTATTTCTGATAATCTAGTTTTGTATTCTGCCTATGAAGTTCCTTTAGAAATTCAGATAGTCTGAAAATGTTTAATAATTGTCACTGGAATATTGAAAGAAATACACAAAAAATTGTTTATACAGTTAGATTAATATTGGAGTACCATAAAAAATGAAGGTAGAAATAGGTTTTATAAAAAATTGTAAGTGCTAATAACCAGAAAAATTGTCATTAAGTCCGACCCTACTCATGATATGACACACAACACCCCTTGTCTCCCTATGCCCTTGACCTTTAACTGCAAAAATTTAATAGCATCGAAACCTTAACAGACATACCTCCCTGCAAAATTTCAGAAATTTTGGGCAAAAAGCACAGGAGTTCTTCAAAGAGAGTGAACAAAAGCATGTTCCCTCCACACACTGACATCCATATAATATATATGGAAAAAACTCCCCGAATTTTTTAATATTTTGACATTTCAAGGTGCCAAGAGCCCAAAATTGTAAAAATTTTTGGTGTTCCACTTTTTGACCGATTGCCATACTTTCTCTGTTATATATAACAGAGCCGGGAATGTAAAATTGTACAAGTGGTTTGCATGTATGGTGGCCAAACTGTGGTTTGCGGGTCTTATGGTGGTTCTTCTAGACCTTTACTATAGTTCCCATACAAATTATATAACTTGTATAAAATACAGTTTCAATAGAGAGTGAGGTTCTCATATTTCCGATAGGTGATACGTGGCACCTGTCATGACAAGATTTGACCAGCCTTGGTACATACCGCGTTTATATTCTTGATAAAAATTATAAGATCTTCACAGCATCTAGTTTATGCACTCGTCTACGTAGACATATAGCAGTTTATGGTTAGTTTTATATACAGTATATTAAGAAATTATTTCGGCAATTACAGTATATTATTACAGTTACAAGTATTAGGCAAGTACAGTATATATTAATTATCAATTGCATCAAACTTGAGTCCACAGAGCAGTATCACCTGCTATTTGATGAACTATGGTTCAAATTCAGCTTGTCCGCCAATGACCGAGTGGATAAAACACCGAATGTTGGTAGTCGGATAGTTTGTGTCCAACCAACAGGCTGGTTGTGTTAAGTTTTCCAGATTTTCTTTGATGTCTAACACTTAAATAGCTGCCAGTTTCTGAAAGAAAGTCCTCCCAGGAGGAATCTATTCCTTGGCAGATTGCTCATGTGTTGCATTGTCTTATTCTATCAATTAAATTCGGGTTGGGCCTCAGTAATTTTTGTGATTATGACTATTTGACTATAGATAATTAATGATATCTGAATGATTTTAAACTCAAAAAAGATTAAAAATTATAAATGTAGAGATGAAAGTGAATCACCAGAAAGTACAGCTTCATTATTAAATCTATACTAATATTATAAAGAGGTAATGTTTTTATGTATGTATGTATGTTAGTTTGTATGCAGCAGGTAATCTCCGAAACTACTCATCCGATTTCAAAAATTCTTTCACCAATATTTAGAATGGAACTTCAGGGTGGACATAGGCTATATATTATTCCGTTAAACATGGGAGATGGACANAAATAATAACTTCAGACAAATTAAGTTACAAAAAAAAATCATTTTATTTTTTAGATTGGCTAGCAGATGGCACTACGATAAATCTTAAAATAACTGATAAAAAATATTTTAAAAGTTTTTTAATTTAAACGAATAGTTCGAAACACTTTATTTAATAATAACGTTATAAGAAATTAAATTTACAGGTTAAAAATTAAACATTTATAAAGATTTCAACTCGAAGCTTATAAAATTACGCGACAGATGGCGACGCGTCGAACTCGACATTTACGCGCCGATAAAATTATAACACTTATTCATTAGAAACCATTTACTATTTATTCAGCGATTATTTAAATGGTGTCGTGATTTCCGCGATAAAAGATACAAAATAAACTTAGCGATGGTAAGCCGATCCGAAAATATATAATTATATCCGTTATCAAGAGATAGCGCCACCCGTTACGGTTTGCGATGACGTCAATGTTGTCTCGTCATTTCTGGAACATTCGATGGCGATGTTATATATTTGATTGCGAGCGGTTCCGCCCGAGTTTATATTACGAATTTTAAGAGGAAAGGACGTACATTTAATAGTCGAAATCGAATTAATTAAGCAAAGAAGACAACGGTAAGTGTCTTCCTCCTCTAATTATTCCATATATTTGTTGTTTTTGGATGGCATTTGCTGTTTATTTAGTGGCCATACTTATAAGGAAAACGACGACGTTCGAATGAACTAAATACCGCTTTTTTAAAAACGGCGTAACACTTACCGTTTCGGTCTTCGTTTCTCGCTGTTACTTAACATATTTTCCGTCGGTTTCCTTAAATACTCGATGAAATTCCTCCGAATTTTGTTTAAAATGGCATTTCTTCAATACGACACCCTCTCGAGTTATTTAGCGTAGACTCCACCGATTCGTGATTAAATTCTTAATCCAGCAGCTTGATTGTGTTTAAAACTTACTACCTTGGCCTTTGCAGATTGTGAAGCTGAAGGGTGAGCGTACAAGTGTTTTATGGTCACCCTTCAGTTTCACAAAGAAAGCTTTCATCCTTCAATTTCCATAGATCCAGCTTCACCCTTCAGTTTTCACGCATCTATGGAAATTGAACTTTGAACTTTGAATCTGGATCTGTCTTCACCCTTCCTTCCATAGAAACAGCTTCTCATCATTTTCTTTACATCCAGCTTTGCCCTTCAATTTTCATACATCCATCTTTACCCTCTTTTCCATACATCCATCTTTACCCCTCAGTTTCCATGCATCCATCTTTACTCCTCATTTTCCATACATCCATCTTTACCCCTCAGTTTCCATCGATCCATCTTTATCCTTCACTTTCCACAGATCCAGCTTCACTCTTCAGTTTCCTTAGGTCTAGCTTCACCCTCCTGCTTCATAAAGCCAACTTTCACAGATCCAGATTCAAAAAGGCCATCTTTTTTCTTTTTGATCCAGCATCGTAAAGCCAACTTTCAGTAGTTAATTTTGCTATAATTTTTTTTAAGGCTTACTTTAGCATTAAAATTGCTGTATTTGTGATTTGGGGTGTCAAATCGAGAAGTCGACCGATTGGTGCCGTCAATTGCTTTTAACAAAGAGAATTGGCAATGGATTAACTAAAGATCTGTACATTCACCTTAAAGGCAACCCGATCGACAATTACTTAGTTTAAAGTCGTGCGGCGTTTGACAATCGATAAATAAATATCGCCGCTTAAAATAGAATGTTTGTAGGTAAAGATCTGGATCTAGGTTCTCTCACCTGGTGATAAATTGGGATCTATGCCATGTGCGACCGATCGTTTGGATACCCCGAGTTATGTTAAGGTGGGGGCGAGTTAGTTTTCGCGGTTTCGATATTATTAGGTTTCCTGGACATAGACCAAGTGAAAAAAGTTAGCGGCGGAAGGTATTTACTACGAACAAATGGAAATGTGTGCTCGGCCGTGACATTACGTAGTCTACCTGCACGCTAATCCTCTTAATTTTATTCCTAGCTCATAGTACCTTCCCAAGCAGATATTTCTTGCTTGGAGTAACAGTACACACACCGACTGCATTTGTTCCTAAATAATACAGGTGCTGTTGGAGGGTGATATTTTTAAAAAAATTCTTGGTATTGTTTATGTTAAGTAGTCATATGGAAGTCGGTTTATTCTACGAATCGGTGTTTCTCTTTGTATGTTACCGCTTTGCGGATTGCCGTTTAAGGCAAATGATATTTTAATTCCCAAAGCAAAGCACTAATTTTGCTGTTCAGAATAATTTTAGTAAATTAGAGATTTATCATCTCTTCTAATTGTAATTAACAAGTTAAACTTTTTTGACTATTTTTAAAGGGAGTTGTCATTTTTCTTCCTCAAATTTGGATTCGAAAGCCTATTTTTAGAACTTTAATAAGATAACTTAACAAAACTTGCTGCAACACACTTCTAATTCATTTCTTAGGAATTTCTTGGAAGTTCCAAAGGAAACGATATCATTGCTTTAGTCATGAACTTCAAAATAATAAAGGTTAAAGGTCATTTGGTTGACTATTGTCTTATCATAAATACTTTTTTTAAATTTAAGCTTGATGTCGGAGTGGTTTACATTTAGATTCAAGGACAGATAGATAGTTTCAAGGTTAATGATATTTGTGACTTGTTTACAAAAAGTGGTGTGGAGTTGATTTTTGTTCTTTCAATTATTACAATTGTTAATACTAAGTTTTTTTTTTTTTGTTTAGCAACTGGTGATATTGCAGAATGGGGAAAGATTATTATAAGATTCTTGGCTTGAGTAAAAATGCCAGTGAGGAAGACATAAAGAAGGCCTATAAGAAGCTGGCACTGAAGTATCATCCCGACAAGAATAAGTCTCCGGAAGCGGAGGAGAAGTTCAAGGAGATTGCAGAAGCGTACGAGGTTCTTAGCG